TAACATGCAATCCTTGCCTTTAATCAAATTAATGCCTCTATGAAAACATTCTAAAGTCAAATTCCGACCCAACTGTTGAAAGAAGAATGTTTAAGTAATCTGATGGCACTGTTCAACTTTTTTTTTTTGGTTAAATACAAATCACACCAGTTCACTGTACTCAAAGAATATACTTCTACAAAGCATTCTTCTCTATCGTCATGACTCTATCATCTTGGACTCACTGCAGATGTGCTGTCACCCCACTCATCATTCTTCCCAAAGAAAGTTGAAAGCCTTGGATGCATGTTTAAGGACCTATGCAGAAAAAGCTGAAAATCGGTTGGCTAATATCTCCTGGACTAAATTAAAGTCTGGATTCTATTCAGTTGTGCCTGCTGACAGCGTTCAATCTGTTTTAAACAGCCTTCAGGGTCAAACCAGGAGAATGCTAAGGAAGTAAGAGAAATGGGAGCTCTGTCCACTGGAGCCCACACAGTTTGGACAAAGTTACAAAATAATCTTTTCTTATTTCAAGAAGTGGGGATGCTGAATGCAGTTCCAACAGCAGGTATAGGGTTTCAGAGTGCAGACTCAAGCAAAGCAGCTGATGAGAAGAGGGCAGTGGTCAGGATGGATTTCAGCTGCTATAACCTTGAAGTCACCAGAGAAATCAAGAGGCAGCTCTAAGGAGAAGACACTACATTGAATGAGAGAAAACAGCAGGTGGTAGAGCTGAACGTCAGACACTCACTAGAAATGAGTTGTACTATGCTGTTTTACTTTTGAATGACTGAAAAAATCTCTGGCAGCAGTGATTGTGACTGCTCATGCCAGTGAAGATAACAGAGAAGCTGTCCATGATCCAAGAGATTGCAATTTTTGGCAGTATAACATTAAATTATTTTAGAGTTCTCTCTGCATTGTTTATATTTCACCTACAGCCAAAATTTAAAAAAAAAAAAAAAAAAACAAGCTACATCAGATTCCAACAAACTAGGAGAGCAGAAGCATTCTGCCAAAAAACAAAGGGAACAAAATCATAACCCATAGAAGCAAAACAGAAGATTTTGATGGGAACTTGCTCCAGCAAAGATTTTGTAGTACTGAGGCACAGGAAATTCTCCAGCAGAAAGATACGTGCGTTGGTGATCAGACTTGGGTGTGTTGTCTGCCAGGTTGCTGCTAGCTCTAATTAATCCTAGGTACCACAAATCTTGCATCATACAACCCTTACCACCAAGGCTGCACTGACTGATACCAGAATGCATGGCCGTGAGAAATTCACATCAGGCACATAAGACCAGACAAATGCCTGGGCCTAGTAATGTTCAGTGGAAATAAGGGTAGCCAAGGCTGTAGCTATCCTCCCCTGCAGAATAAAGACCTTCACACCGTCCTGCCATGCCATCTGTGTCACTGAGACTGAAGTTAGATCTGCTCTTGCTAATTAAGTCACTCTCACAGCTGAGATGGCACAGCTAGGCTGGCCTTAACTTGTTGTGAATACTTTTATGGCGGTGGTAACAAACAGTTCAAGAGAAGCTGCAAAAGATCTGTAGGAAGCAAAGATGTTACTTGGGTAGTTAGCTCCACTGAGTTCTCTACTACTCTGGGTATACTGCAATCTATAAACAAGTAAGACTTCAGCTCTAAGCAGGCATCGAAGCATGACAATATCACACATTTCTTTACATTTGTTCAGGGTCAACAGTAACAGTTCCCAGCACATACAAAGTACATTTAAAAAAGGGTATTATCTATGTCCTGAAGAAAAAAAAAAAAAAAAAAAAAAAAAACCCCACCATTTCTCCCTATATTAAACAGTTCACTGCAGATGAGTAGGAGCTAGTCAGACTCAACACATTTCTTAATTATTCCTGTTACTTCCTCCCCCAGTTCTGATACTAATCTTACAGTCTGGTGGACCATTTAATACCCACACGTAGTCTACCTGCAGTATCCTCCAGAGAGCTGGCCCGCTCCAGAAACCCAGGCTCAGAACAGCGATGAGTCTCCCTCCTCCTGCTGGTACACATCCTGCCATGCAGGTGGGCTCTTATCACCAAGACACACGGTTTTCCCAGACGCAGAAAGAAATGAATGACATGTTTGTGCAATGTTTCCTATAAGCCAAGTAGAAACATCAAGAACACAGCTCAATACAGCCATAAGCTGCAGTGGTCACCAAGGAATTTTCACCCTGGTCACCTCTTACAGGCTGAGACCAGTAACACCAGCTTCCCCGACCAGTCACAAAATCACAGTCACAGGCTATCTTGAGTTGGAATGGATCCACTGAACCCACCCAGCTCCTTTTCTGCACTAGAAAACTGTCTCGTCTTGCCCACTTGAGCCATTAGCCATAACAGCAGCACCCTCTTGGGTGCAGCAGTCCACCACAGACACATGCTCCAGTCCGTCACAGTGTCCCCTTTGTGGGTATGTATGCCTCTGGCACAGCTAGGCTGAAAGTGCAAGTCTCCACAAATGAACAATGAAGAAAAGGTAAGAACTGACAACAACCTTAATGCTGTGGGAATTTTATGCAATTTTTTTGTTTTGTTTGTTAAGCTGGAATCTACAGTTAGATTTGCACATTTGCAGTAGTTGGAATTTATTTTAAGGGAAACCTATACAGCTCATGAATTATCTCTGAATTCAGCAATTTTTACAGCCAGGCTTATAATAATTGCTTTAAAGGTTATGCAAGTTCAAAAATATCTTGACAAATCAGGGAGTTGCTTAAGAGAGTTTTTAAAAAGAAGAATATTAAAAAACAAAAATATCGCTCAGCAGCAGTGACCAAGATTATTCAGTGAGAAGAGACACCTTCCTAGGGATAAAACAATAAACAATGTGACCATGAGAAACAAACTCCACGAAACAGGTGTAAGTAATCACTGAACTTTGAACACCAGCTTACATTTCCTTGTACGTAAAGTAATACAACTTGAAATGAAATAACACTGCACTTATGTGAGTTCTTCTCAGTGTCGTATTTCAGAAGGGAGGTTCTGCCAGCCCAGTCTCCATTCCACATTAAAAAAAAAAAAAAAAAGTCACAGTAGTGCCCAGGAGCCCCAATGGTCAGCAGCTTTCCTCACTGTGGTAGGAGAGTCAGTCAAGGTGCACCTTTTACCTACATGTAGCAAAGTATTATATGAGAGAGAACAGGCAGGCACTGACACACAGCTGAAACACAAGGAAACAGATGACAAATGATCAGCTAGGACTGCTGTCCTTCAACCTGCTTCATTCTCTAAGACCAGACTAGCATTCTAAAACCTAAGTCCAACCTAACACTCCAAACATACTGCAAGAGATAACGTGGGGTCCGCTGATGAAACATGTACTTGAAACTTACTTTATTCTTCTAGGACAGGTCTTGAGAAAACATACTGAAGCAAACTGTTCATCTGGCTAACATGAAAAGAACCCCTTCTCCTGTTGCTGGTGAATCAGATCTCAAAAAATGTCCCAAAAAATAAGAAAAAAAAAAATGGAGAAAAGCAGTCAAAAGAGAAACAACAGTAAGTTAGCCTCTAGGAGTAACTCAGAGATAAGACAAACCAAACAGAGGGAAGGAGTTCAAGTTACATTCTTACAGTGACAATAATGGCAGTAGAATTAGGTACAGCATTAATAGAAAAAAATTAGTTTTCCAAAGCACTGGTAGAGCAAACACTGTTGCCATAACCCTCTCACTCCCAGAAGCATGCTGATCTAATTTCTACAGTTAAATATTTACAGAGCAGTTTGTGTGCTTTCAGGAGCTGCAAGAACTGCTCACGGAATTCAGATGAGCAGATCTGTCCTCATAGAGGGTTTTCAGAGCCATCCACTTTCTTCACTGCTCCTTTAATACCTAGTTACCTATCAGGGAGCAGCAGGAGGGAGGACAAGCCAGGAGCCAAGAGTGTCCACAGCACGAACTAGAAAGTGACCACACCAACACTGTGGTGCTGCAAGGTGGCTGTGAGGTGCTGCCCCTGCACCAAACTGTTCTGATGCGCTCCTATTGTCTACGTCACTCTGAACCACTCCGTAAACCTCAGTTTTACTTCAGCTACAAGTGACTGCAGGAACTGGCATTTAAGGGAGTCATCCATACATCTATACTACCACTAAATTTTTTCATCCTGTTTGTTTTATCCCTTTCACAGCCCTGACACTGAAGAAAATTACGTGTAAAAAATGAAAAACAGGCCTGGGAAAATCTTACAGATCCATGCAAGGGGATCCTTCTCAGTACCAAGTAAGATAATATATTTTGGACATCTAACCTGTTCCTAAAGACCTTCAGCAATAGGAAACAGCACAGGTTCCAATAAAATCTGTTCTTCCCTATCAATACAACATTCTAAATCTGAAACTTCTTATTGTAGTCTCTCACTACTCAGCTTTAAAGAAGCTATGAATTCAGATGCATGACAGTACCATAAGTGCATGGTCAGTAAACACTGATCAGTAGATGCACAGTTAACACTTAGAGCAACCATAATATCGCTGCATGTACTTCAGCCCCATATAGTCTCCACGAACATATCTTAACAAAAATTAAGCATGTGTAATATTCAACAAGCTTGATTCTGATTTGTCCCTTAAGAACAGCGACACACAGTCACTTTAACTCAAAACTTCACTATTACAAAATTTCCAGTGTAGAAACATCCTGAATTGTCTAGTTTGCCTTTGTAAATAGACAGTACAAAGTCCATCAGTTCAGTTCTGTAGGAGGGACTGAAGAGTGTGAAATCAGGGTTTCTACCTAAAGTCTTCATTCTCCACAGATTTTCTCTTAAAGAAAACACGCAAACACCACCAAGTCTCATTCAGAATAAAAATTCACTTTGGCATTATCAGCCAAAGGATACCGCTCACAGCAGAGAAAACAATTACTTTGACAGAAAACCATGTTGCACTGAAGAAATAGAGCAGTCTGAGCCCTGTAAAGCTGCCAGGTTGTGCGATGATTGTCCCAAATGGTTTCAGAAAGAAGTTACCGTAAATTAAAAATATGCTTAGTCCTATGAAAGACACACTGTTTATTCAGAAACAGAATATCTTGACAATACTTCCATGAGCATACATGCAGATACAGACACTACGTCTTAGTATTTTTTATTTTAAATTAAACTTATTATACGACTACATAAATAAAAGATGGTGTTTATAAGAAATTACACAAAATCATACATCAGTAATATTTACATTGTTACTTCTGGTGTAAAATTCAAGACAAACAAAACAGTAAGAGTCCTCAATAAAAACAATTATTTTAATAAAATATGTTCAAATAAGAAGGAATAAAAATAGTCTTAGAAGGTCAAACTTACCCTGATGAGAGCAACACAGTTACAGAAAAGAGACTTAAAGGATACAAACTGTCATACTGTTTTTTGGGTTACCTCAAGGGCTGATCTCCCCCAAATAGTACCATAAATCTTACTTATTGCTCATTCCAGGCATAACCCAAACTATTAGAGTGATTATTAACTATATTGCAGAAATCACAGTTTTCATTTATTTCATAGTTCTTGATTTTAATGGAATTGCTAAGACTAAAGAATGTAGGGCTGGATCACTAAGCTCTAAGGTGCTAAGGTTTAAATAATATTTTAAGCTAATTTGAATTTTAAAAAAAGGAAGTTTCCATCACATGCTTCTCTCGAAAGGATTCATCTGTGCATAATGTATTAGTGACATTCTAAAACAAACAGGAGAGGTACTTCACTCTTAAGAGAGCAAGCTCTGTCTACAGCCAGTGTGAGAGTTTACCTCTTCTTAGTACTGTGCCATGGGAATCCTTCCTTTGGATTGACACATCCTAAAAAGAACTAATCCATATATTCCTTATGGTGGTCAGACAGTGTTTTTATTTTACAACACATAAAGCTCCAAAGAGCAAAGCCAACAGTTTTTGTTCTTCACTTTTCCATCTGGGTGTTAGATTTGTATCAATAATGAATTGCTCTTCCAACACAGCTATCAGAAAAATTCAATGCATTTTCTTACAGAAATAAACTAAAACCCATAACTCCTTTGGGAGGTATTTAAGTGAGATTCTCCCAATTGAAAGAAAACTGAGGCACAGTGCAGCTAAGTCCACGACATAGCTTAAACCAGTGTCCCCTTCCCAGTATTTTATTCTCATCAGTAGCTTACACACAAAAATGGATGAAGTTACTGGAAGTAAACAAATGGATGTGTATACCTATCAAAACATATAAAATTCACCTGTAACAGCTCACATCATTCCACTGAAACGCTGGTCAAAGAAATGAAACAACAACAACAACAACGATAGTCCTGATAAATCCAGGAAGCCTGAAAGGGAAAACATTATGATCTTGGTTCCATAAAAATCTGACATGAATTCTTGTTGGATTTAACTCATTTTAGAGAACAAAATCTCACAGACCAAAAGAACAAACAAGCAAAATAGGAAAAATTAGATTGTCTGATAAAACTATTAGACTGAGCTTGATTCATTTAGTAATGGAGCAGATTTGAAAGCACTTACTATGCTGGCTGCAAAAACTCTGATGTGAATACAGCTTCAGCATAATCCTCACAAACATCCTGCAGCTCTGCTGCTACATCAAACAGGGCTTCGTCTGTTAGTTCCTCTGCAAGACTAAGGTACAAGGAAAGGGGAAAAAAAGAACAGGAAAAGGCTGAGGTCAGATTTTGAGCTTCACTAATTCATACCAGTGATATCAATGCTGTGATCTAAAAAGGCAAATACTGCTGCTTTTTTTTTTTTTCTTTCTACTGCCTAGTCTAAGAAAAGATTCTACTATCACAGAACAGTTGCGTTCTTGTAAGTGTTGTATAATAACCCAAATTAGAATCACAGAATCCTTAGAGTTGGAAAGGACCTTTAAAGGTTATCTAATCCAGCTTCCCTGCAACAAGCAGGGATCTCCAGCAAGAGATATTCTTACACCCACTGCCAGTACTTAAATGAGGTCTGGGAAAGGGTGGATCCTGGCTCCACTGCTCCCAGTCACTCAGGTGCACTGCTTGCACCAAAGCTTCCCTGGTTTGGCCCCACCCTCCCTCCAGATGCTCTGTTACTGCTTCAGACTGCGAGTGTACATTTCCACTGCACACAGCTTTCATGACGATCTGCTCCATGATCTTTCCTGGCACAGAAGACAAATAGGTCAGTAGTTCCCAGGGTCATCCTTTTTACGCTTTTTAAAGATGGGTGTGCTGTTGTCTTTTTTTTTTTTTTTTTTCCTCCCAGTCACCAGGGACTTCACCTGACTGCCACAACTTTTCAAATATCATTGAGTGGCTTACATAAACTAATTCTCTTAGGACACTAGGATGCAACGCATGCGGACCCATAGACTTTTGCATGTTCAGCTTCCTCATGTGGTCATGAACTTGATCTTAACTTACAGTTACACTTACAGGACATGCTTCCCCAGTCCCCTCCTACAAAACCAAACATTTCAGGACTGTGTGGTGAGCACTCATCAGGGAAGACAGAGGCAAAAAAGTTAAGTACCTCAGCCTTCTCCTTGCCTTTGTTACCAGCTTGCCTGTGTCACTCACTAGGAGGAGTACAGCCTCCCGGACTTTCCTTTTCTGGTTTAGGTATCTCAATTAGAAGTAAAAACCTTTCCTGTTCTTCTTGGCATCCTTGCTGAGTTTACTTCAAGCTAGGCCTTGGCTTTCCTGATGCCATTCCTACACAGTTTAGCAGCTTCCTTATACTCTTCTCACAATACCACCTGTCCCTGTTTCCACCGCCTGTGCATTTTCTTGCTCTTTGATTTGTCTAGCAGAACCCAGTTCAGCAATGTCAGTCTCCTCCCTTTCCTGATCTCCATTTCTTCCTTTTTCAAACTCTTACATACAAATTCTGCTATAGGAGTAATAATTAACATACTGTGGTGCTCATTCTAAGGCCACTGAAATAAATAGGAAGCATCTTACTGATATTAGTTGCCACTGAATAAGGCCTTACAGAGAGTAATAAGGTTTAAGGAAAAATGAGATAAGTGGCCTCCAGACAACAGTGGACATAACAGAAAGGAAAACTAATAAACAATTCTTTTTATGTTAAAATAAACTCTGTAAAGTTTATCTTCAGAATTTTGCAAGTACTCTAAATTATAATAAAGCTACTGTATCCAGGACTTTCCCAGCATAGCAAGGGACTGTTTCTTCTAAACATTTTTTTAACACTTACTTTATATAGGAAGATTTATAATGCCCTCTTGTGGTAGGAATTAAGGACAGAAAAAAACACCTGATAGATTCACTACAAAAATACAGGTAGTTCACATACCTTTCAGCAATCTGCCATGGATTGAAGCTGCCTACTGCTTCATGGAAAATAAGGTTTAGGTGATGCTTGTATTTGCTGCTGTAATCCAGGATGCTCTGGAGCATATGCTTTGTAATTGAGAAAGAAATGTAGGACTTTTTCTGCACAGAATTCTGAGTCAAGGGCTGCAGAATGTTATTTCCAGTCAGCAATTTCTTCTGAGCTTCTTTGTTTTTGTTAGTGCCACTGGAAATACAAAAGATTTAATTTAATCAGGATTATTAAGGTGTTTTTTTTTTTTTTGAAAGATCAGAAAATGACTTCAAACAGTAAGTATAATTCCCTCTAATACAAACACTGCAATGAATGTGCACAGCAGAAATGCACCACAGCTTTGTCTACAATCAAAGTATTCTACTTACTTGTCATCAAAAATTTTTTCAAATGAAATGTCAGTTTCCGATTGTATCTGTCTAGTTAATTTGGTTATCTGAATTGAATGAGGAGATGTAGGTAGTTGAGTTATTAATGCCATTTGTTGATCTAGAAGGAAAAAAGATAACATTAAAATTTGTTTCTTTGGAAGAAAATAAAAAGCCTACAGTTAATGCAGTTAGGACCTCAAAAACTTTTGCTTCCTTCATAGGCATATCCTTCAGGTAGAAAAAGACAAGTACTAAAGCTGACAAATCCCTAAAAATGAAAATTCGAGCAAGGATATCCAGGAGCTCAGTGTACTGAAACTAAGCATTTCAGACATTCTTCCTTTAGTATAAGTGCAGTTTGTTTTTAATCAGGGAATACTTCTCTAGAACAGACAGAAAAATATCACTCAAAAGTTAATGCAGTATATTAGAGCTTGGCAGTAAATTCAATAAATAGAAAAAATGAAACAAGATTTGGGGGAAGTTTTTATCTATCTTATTGATAGATTTCGTACGCATTTTCACTGAAGTTAGTATGTGACCAGATCCTCAACTTGGTAAATTGACGTAGCTTCATTGTTGTATTTAATCAAACAGAAGGATAAAGAAAGAATACACTAAACACTGCAAGATTTAGACTTACAAATTCCCAGTCATAAAGAGCCCAACAGAAAAGAAAAGAAAAAAAAAAAAAGTAGCTTCAGGAGATTTCAAACTTAGAAAATAAACTATCTTTCTTCTGAAGTAGATTCAAACAGCTCACAGATTAGCTGAATGTATGTACTCCAATTACAGACTACAGTATAAAGTCTTCACTGCACTAAAATCACTACCCACTATTTATAAGAAAATATCTAAGTTAAGGAATGACAAATGCCTTTAAAAGGACAACATTAAAAACTTAACACGTATTGACTGGTGGTATATATTAAAGACTCCTATCCTTCAACTAAGTTACACTAGCAGTGCATCGCATGCAAATGTATACTCAACAAAGGCAAACTGAAAATAATGGTCTGTTCTCAGAATGGATCCTTCTTTTAGCACTGTATTTCATAGAATCATAGAATGTCCTTGGTTGAAAAGCACCACAATGATCAGTTTCAACCCCCCTGCGAAGTGCAGGGTCGCCAACCAGCAGATCAGGCTGCCCAGAGCCACATCCAGCCTGGCGTGGAATGCATCCAGGAATGGGGCATCCACAACCTCCTTGGGCAACCTGTTCCAGCGCTTCACTAGCCTGGGTGAAAAACTTCCTCCTAATATCTAAGTTAAATCTCCCCTCAGTTTAAAACCATTCCCCTTGTTCTATCACTGCCCACCCTCATAAACAGCTGTTGCCCCTCCTGTTTACACACTCTCTTCAAATAGTGGAAGGCCACAATGTCTCCCTAGAGCCTTCTCTTTTCCAAGAAAAACAAGCGTTTTTTCAGAAACATTCCTCTCAAAGGAGCACCTACAATCAAAAATGTCTGAATAGTTGCACAAAAAAAACACAAATCATGGACTGAACAGGCAACTAGCCTGTAAAAAAAAAAAAAAAAGAAAAACCAACTTTTATTTCCTTGGGAACACAAGTAAACTGCCTCTAGGTTCTGCACCTACAAGAGATTTGTTTGCGAGAAATTACTCTGTAGCTACAACTGAGTATCCTTGTTTTCTGCGATTAACTTGGACTAGACTGATTCATGTTGCTTTACTGTCTCCCTGTTATACCTATGGCAGGCACAGACATGTCACCAGCGTGGCAGCTTTGGTAACGTAAGTGCCTCTTACTAACTGGTGAATGTTAACTTGCCTTTGCGTACTTTCTTTGGGTTTTGGTAAACCTTATGCAGAAGCATTCACAATTTCTCATTACAACAGTGATACATGATCACATATAATCACTTTGATTTCAATTCTCTGAATTCAAAAGACAGAGACGCCAAGAAAGTAAGTTGTACCGAAGAAACTACTTACCAAATTTATCCTCTTGGGCCCTGAATTCTGAATCACTGTACACAATCTGGGTGAATCTCCTGCACACAGTTTCCTGATATCTCTGTTTTTAAACAAATAAAAGTAATCAATTAACACATGCTTAACACTTATCACTTGATAAGAAAGCAGGTCATGATCCTCCTTGTCAAAGCAGGATTATTTTGCAGGGTTAACGCAGTACTGAGAAGGAGTAAAAGGAGATGAAATCACAGATAATCATCTCATTTCAAAATCCTAGACTAGAAGATTCAACTAGTTGCCAGTACCATAGCAACTACTCCTATTTCAGATCAACAGCAGTTAGAAAAACAGCTGATGGGCTTTCCTGCCCTACCAACAAGGAATTCAAACATATGCCCAAGCACCTTAAACAGATATTGCATACTGTAAGCTTCACGCTTTCAGCTTACGAATTGATCTCAAGTAAACAGTGCTAAATTCAGTAGTTCTAATTCAGGATAAATGTAACTGAACAGAAAGGTTGTAATAAGATTAGAAACAAATACTCTGGAAAAGCTTATTAAAGTTTAAAAAAGTAATGCATGGGGGGAAAAAAACAAAACAAAACAAGCAAACTTAGGTCTGCCAATCCTAACGTTAGCAATAAAACCATGAGGTCAAATATCCTTCTGTTCTTACACAGTTATGTGCTGGTAGGGGAGACTTGGAAGGAGTTTCCTATTTCACACCACAATCCAGTCTGATCTTGTTTTAAAGAACGCAGATACCTAATGGTATTATAATTATTGTCAGTAAACCAGAAATTAGCCCTATCAGACCAATGAATAGATTGAATAGATTGATAGAATTGAAGAACTTACTTCAATTTCTTCCATTCTTTGCAACATTGCTTCCAGACTAGGACCATCAGCCACAAACAGATTCTCAGCCTGAAGTCTCTTACACTGCGCCATATTCCAGAGTTCCTGAGCAGTATCTTCCAAAAGATCATCCAGTACCTTTTCACTCAGAATATCTGCACTTGCTGCAACCTGCCAAAAAAAGCAAAATAAACACAGTCAATGGGGGGGAGAAAAATAAAAAAAAGAAAGAAAAAGAGGGAAAAAGAGAAGAAATAGAAAAACTTTGAGGGGAAAAAAAATGATGCTTATACATCACATATTTCTTACAGCACCTGCCGGTAAGAAGCCAAATGTCATTACAACTTTTCAGTGAAAGCCCAAATAATTTTATTTCTCTTCCACTCACTTAGTAAGCCAAATCAATAAAAACAGCTTGGTATATTCCTACCAATAAAAAACATTGAATATGGATGAAGCTCTCTACATAACTAAGTTTCTATGTTCCTAAACACAGGTTCAGAAATCACACAGGATTCAAGAGCAAGAAGCAAAGGCCCTCATATTACAAAACATGCATTTAACAGAACATACAGGAGAAGTCCCACAGCAGCTGCCAAAATGAATAAATACAGAAGAGCACAGAGTAAATCTAGGCCAAAGGTGCAGGTTCCAGTTGTGTCCAGTTTTACCAACTAGAATCATAGAATTGCTTAGGTTGATAGGAACCTTACAGATTATCTCATTCCAACTCTGCTAGGTGCACCCCCTCCAATCAGACTGCATAGAGCCCCCCTTCCAGCCTGGCTTTCGACACCTCCAGGGTTAGGGCAGCCACAGCTTTTCTGGGCCTTTCTCTATCAGACAGGCTCACAGCCTTCTCAGTAAAGCATTTTTTAACATCTAACCTAAACTCCTCCCTTTTAGTTTAAAGCTATTTTCCCCTGCCCTGCTCTTCCCCCCATGCCATGCTATGATATCTCTATTCATAGAATCAGCAAGGTTGGAAAAGCCCTCCAAGATCATCCAGTCCGATTATCCACCTACCATCAGTATTTCCCAATAAACCATATCCCTTAGTACAACATCTAAACATTTCTTGAACACATCTGGGGACAGTAACTCCATCACCCCCCTGGGCAGCCTGTTCCAGCGCCTGACCACTCTTTTGGAGAACAAGTTTTTCCTGATATCCAACCTAAGTTGATTCTATGTGTGCTTTGGCACAACTTGCAGTCATTCCCTCTTGTCCCAGTGCTTACCCAGGAGAAGAGGCTGACCTCCATCTCGCCACAACCTCCTTTCAGGTAGGATGTAGAGAGCTATAAGGTATTATAAGCTATACAGTGTTGGAAAATGTTAAGTTCAGAAAATCATCACTACTTTTCTAACCGCGTTTTGCCACCTGGCAAAGATAAAAACTCAGCTTTTCTCTGTGACAAGTAGATAGAATATACCTCCTCAGCTGCGTGAGTTGAAAGCTGTCTTGTAATTGAAGGATCCTTCAAATGACAGTTTGATTCCAAGGAAATATTGATCTGCTAATAAACCATAAATCCACTTAGAATAATGAACCTTCTGTATTATTAGTCATAATTACTAGCAGAGAAAATATACTGAGACATTAAATGTGGTATTATATTATTAAAATAATCTTATCAAGTCCAGTTATGATTAGTGTAGAACAGTTCTGATTGTTCACTACTAAGAAAAGATGGTTAAAAAAAAAAAAAACAAACAAGAATGCAGCTTTGCCAGCTTTGGTTACGATAACTTAAAGTCTACATACTGAAATGGAAATTCACTTGTCAAGTGTCCCAAAATGTACTGACTATATAAATCATTTGATACGTTTCTCCAAAAAACTCCTTACTTGTGCTACATTGAAAACAAACATTATATTGACCATTTATAAATGTACCCCTCAAATACTGCCGTGAGCCTGACTGTACTATCTGTGCCCTATCCAATGGAAGTTCTAGGTGCTCACATACTGCTTTGTCGACTTTGTCTGCACACTGAGTTGGAGAAGCAGCTCGCAACCTGGACATACGCAAAAAATAAGAACAAATGACAATTTGTTAAAATTTAAAATTTGGCATAACAACAGTAATTAAAAAAAAACAAAAATAAAAAAACATAAATCCACTTTTTGGGGAAGTGGAAAGTTGAGAAGCTTTTCATACTGCTGGTGGGGATAGCAGGAAGATTATATCAAGTTCTGGTACCACTTATTAGCTCTTCTGAGCAAGTAATTACCTTAACTTTTGTCCTTTTTTCATTTCTCTTCTGTTAAGATCAGTCAGAACTTTCATTCTTCTTGAAGCTTCTGCTTCACGCCATGCCAGTCTTCAAATATAAGACAATTACATAAGGACAATTACACAACGCTCATTATAAGAACTAGAGAATAAAATAACTGGATTCTGAATATCAGTTTATGAAAATTTTGAGAACGTTTATAGAGAAAATTAATATTGGCTTCAATATCATATAAGCCAGGAAATTCATCTGAGAACCAGCGATCTTCAATCATCCCTACACTACTGGTGAAAAGACAACTTCATGGCTATCTGCAAATACTGCCTAGATAGACAAGCTCCTCATCAATACACAGTCTACTTCAGATCCAGCAGCTGAATCTTCTGGTTCAACTGCCAGAAAGAGCATGGGAAACTAAATGTGGGGAACCCGAGTCTCCAGAATACTGAATATATTTTTTTCATAAACAAGCCTAGACCATATTACAGACAAGGAAAAAAAATACATATTTTCTCCTTTTGGAACCAAGAGATCACATTTGTATTCTCACTGCAGTGCTGAGATAATAGGTTAACTACATGTGGAAAACATAAAATATTTAGATGGAAAAATGAATGAGGGACATACCAACAAATTGCACTTAAGAAATGGAGAGGAACTAATTAACAAAGTTAATATGAAAAAGAATGAAATCTTAGGAAAAGGAAGGAATACATATTATCTCACTGCTGCAATTCTAATAGTTCAAAACAACGTCTATGAAATAGCAAGCTTTCCACAGACAAAACCAAGAGCATTATGTGTAGTTTTGAGTCCCACAATGTAAAGATGTAAAGCTATTAGAGTGTAACCAAGGGAGGGCTATGAAATGGAATAGGCAAGGCACAAGAGGAGAGGCTGAGGCCTCTCTGGTTTATTCAGCCTAGAGGAGGGGAGGCCTCATGGTGGCCTATAGCTCCTCACAGGGAACAGGGGGGCAGTGCTGAGCTTTGGAAACACTGACAGGGTCTGAAAGAGCAGCATGCAGCTGCAATGTGGGAACGTCAGGTGGGGGGGTCAGGAAATGGTTCTGTGGGCATGAAACAGGCACCCTATAGCAGTGGGCACAGCCTTGAGTTGCCAGAGCTCAAGGAGCATTGGGACACCACTCTCAGACAGAGTTTGAATGGTCCTGTGTGGAGCCAGACATTGGATGTGATGGTCCTTGCACATGTGCATTTCAGCACAGAATAATCTATGATTATGTGATTAATATGACAGAACTACTTCCTCCAGAGAAGGCACCAATACAAACTCTTCCTTTAGATTAGTAATTTTACAACACTTGAAGGAACATACTATTGTTATTTTTCCACTGCCCATTTGAATTGAAATTAGCTGATGAGTTTCAAAAACCATTATGGCAGGACTGACATAGCATAATAACAGATTATTTAAATAAACTTAAAAATTTAATCAGAGCACCAGCATGGCTAGTGAATGTCCATTCCGCATGCTATGTAGCCTGTCAGTGCTTTGCAGTTTTGGCCTGCGACTTCCAGATGATATTCATATATGACCCAGGAAAAACATAGAAGAATGCTTTTTTCCCCATGCTCTGTGAATGAGGCCACTTTATTATGAGTGAGAAAAAAAAAAAATACAAATATCCACTTGTGAGCTGTGCTATGCCACTTTTGCCTCTGTAATATGAGAGGCAGGCCCAACCCATCCTATTTACTAGCACAGATACAGTACTGTTTCCACAAAAACGTTAGGTGAACACTGGATCCACTAGACTACGAACATACCGTTTAGGTGAAGCAGGAGGTAACGCAGAGTTTGAAGGCACCCAGGGTATGCTGCTCTCCTTAACAAATCGTTTGTTCTCTTTTAACTGAAAAGCTATAGTTGTTTCTTGAAATCGAGCATGCTTTCCTGGAGGCTGCACCTGCCTTGGTTTCAGAGATTTAGGCATGCCCTTAAAATTAACACAATTACATTAAAAACATGCATCTCCATTGCTTAATTTTTAAAGTATTTTGTATTCTGCTTTAGAATTTGTTTGGAAGTCATGTCTCTTTACTTTATTGCACAGCTGACACACGTGGAGGATTTAGAACTCGTTTAAAGACAAGTACAACTGTGCCATAACAAAACGTGCTTAAATTTTGCTATTACAATTTTTGCAAGCACTTCTAAGGATAATGCTCTATTTGGCCATTAAACTGTGAGGTCCACTCCAGAATTAATGATTGCTGATAAGAAACAACACAAGTTTCAGAAAACAACTGATAAAATATAACCATCAGAAATAATGGAGACAAATAACATTGCTTATTTGCCTATGCTTCTAAACTCAGAAGAAAAAATATATTTGAGGGAGTACAAAGTCTGAAAGTGCCTTACACTAATAAGAAATCCCAGAGGACAAGATGAAGAAAGCATTAATTCTTTTACAACTTGCATACCTGCGATTCTGCAGATAATAACGTGTCTTTCTTCTTTAAAGAGCCACTTTGAAGGATAGGATCTTTTTTTACAGCTCTAGATCTCACTAGTGCCTCTAGGCTTCCCTGTAAAACAGTATTTCTTTGTTGAGCAGGAAGATCATTCGCGTCCTGGAATTTATCATGCAACATATGAGTGTGCTCGTTCATCTTCTGAACTGCTGAAATTTTTGCAACGTATTGATGTTTATCTGTATCAAAAATAAGTAAGAAATCTTCAGCTGTAAGTTCAAAGGGGCAAGAATCATCTTAATGTCTACATCCAACTTTCCTGTTGTGGTAGATATACCCAACCACAACATTTAAAGCTCTACCATAATACAAAAATATCAAAATTAAAAACAAAACAAAAAACAACCCTTATATTCCCTGACAAGCATTAAAGTAACTGTCTTTGCTAGAGTGATTAACCGAAGAATAAATATATAAGAAAACACATTCTCCATTTACATATGAACGTATATACATACACAAAAACACTGACACATACACAGTCATGTAATAAGCAATAATAGATTTCATGAGGTGGCAAAATATTGTAGACATCAACTATTTCAAAACACACTAGGAAAGAAAGTATTTTTCATGTATAAGGTAGATGAAGAAGAGAAGTAATTCCCAAAGGTTGCATCTCAATCTCTGGCAGTGGAAAACAGACTTCAGTGTAACTGTTAGTTAATGTGCCTCCAGGTACTGAGACTGTGATTGGGGTGCAGAAGAAATGAATGGATTGTCAAGAACAAAAGCCACATCACTCAATCTTTCAAAAGCAGAGAAACTACCCGAACTAAGGAAATCCTGAGCCAGAGCTTTAGTACATCTTCTCACTCCAAATGGTTTTTCTACAAAACAACTTTGCTGGAGACTTGCTAACAAACAATGACTGCATTTCAAGAGAATATGTTCATATAGTGTTTTCAACATAAACGTGATATATTCTGTGTGCACCATTAAAACTAATTTGTAAAGCATCATTTAGGTATACATTGTAGAAAAGCAATCCAAGCACAGCTCACTGTAAAGGAGCTAGACAAAAATAAAAACATGATGATGATGATAATATAAAGAGGTATATAAACCTGCAAGTTAATCACCTAACAGTAGCTGCTAGGGAAAAAAAAAAAAAAAAAAAAAAAAAACACTAAAAGTATAACAAAGCTACATGAATCTGATGACTGATATGGGCTGTTGCACACTTCTACCCAGCAGTATGTAACACACTAAAAAACTGAACTGCAGAGTGCAAGTTAACTAACAATTTAGTAATAAAACACAAACCAATCAAGAGACCTCTGGCAGCTGGAGATTTTCTGGGTCCTCGTCTACGTTGTTTTTTTAAGATGAGAGGCTTATTTTCTCCTTTTGGAGTTGTTAGCTGCTTTCTGGCTGGAAATGTCACAGTGTTCACTGAGGATTCGCCATGTGATGCTGAAAGACATTCCTTCACTTTTCTGGGAGTTTGTTTCCTTTCCAACAATGAAATCAGATCCTGCATCAGATATTGATAATTTTAATTACTTTCTCAGTAAACAGGACGTAATAAAGAAAAACAAATTCAAGATATTCTGAGTAACTGGAACTATTTAATGTGGCTTTGTTTTTTTTGGTTTTGGTTTGGTGTTTTTTTTGTTTTTGTTTTGTTTTTGGTTGGTTGGTTGTTTTTTCGTTTGTCCTGACAGCTTGCTCATGCAGAAGCATCTTTGTTTGACTAACTCAATAATATAAGAAGAGGTCTGCATGTTTTTAAATTTACAACTGATTAGAAAATTATTCACTTAAAGCACATTAAAAAATAAATTGACACAAAATCTACAAATGACTAAGATAAGATAAACATTTTCCAATGAGAAATACAATGTTAATTCTACCTCCATTCCTATTCTGATGCAACCAGTGTTAAAGTGGTCATAAGCATTATGGTTCAGAACAATGAAAACACACCTCTTACATTTAGAATAATATTTTAAGGTAAATAAAATATCTTGCAGCTATTGGATCAGCTGTTTTTATTTGAAATAACTAAATACTGATTGCAGAATAGTTCAGGCTATGTAGGTTATTACTTTAAAAATAATGTAGCTAGAAACTACAGCAGGAAATGTGAATCAGAACTTTTGTACTGCATCAACAGATGTCATAGAACATCAGATATTACTAACAAAATTCATTTAAAAGGCAGAGAGCTTTAAATTGTAGCTACCACCTACACAATTCTGCACCCACCATTGTATGTGAGGCAGAAAGACTCACTTAGTACTGATGACTAAAGGATGCACAGCAGAACAATATTTAATACTTAACCAACATATCAAACGCGATTCTTTCAACCTTGAAAATGGGAAATGAATCAACAACTCGTGTTCTGTTACCACTATCACTACCAGTCCTTATCCTACCAGGCTAGTGAATAATGACAAGAACATCATCATCACAGACTGCAGCAGTCTGTCCTGTGAACAGGATGCAACTTGTTTAGACTACTCTTATTTATGAACATTAGAAGCACATCTATTGGAAAATATGGCCTTTTAATTTAAAAAAAAAAAAAAAGTTAAATATTCTGCAAAACAAAACAATTATTCCTACCTCAACTTGCATCAAAATATCTATTATAACATCAGAAGTTGAAGAATCTAGTTCAAGTTTGGCAGAACAGAGTGACAGCTGTCGAATGAGGCTGCCCAGCTCCTTGTAGTGGGTAGGAACCCATTGCCCTGTTTGATCAGTAAACAGATTGGCGAATGCCTGCAAGGCTCGTATAGCTCCTCTATGTGCTGCTGCCAATTTGGACACTGCTCGAGACTGGAAAAATGAAACATATGTACTTTAGTACCTCTAGTTTCTGTAAGTATTGACACTACCCACAGAATTACCAACATTTCATGTATAAACACTCAAGATTTAGAATAATTCAGATGGAGATTAGGCCGCTTTTCAGGGAAAACAAAACATTCATTTAAGAAATCTTCTAAAGGTACTACACAACACTGCACATAAATTCAATGTTAGATTCAGCTGAAACAGCATAGTGTTATAACTGTGCTTTAACTCCTGGTATTTCTACTGCTTTATACCTATGAAGTCATGGGGCTGATACCAATGTACAAAAAACATGACTGTAGGACATTCTCCATCCCCCAGCATCTGTTTTCTTCTTGAAAAGAAAATACAAGTGATGGATAGAAAAGCACATGAGAATATTGAGTCAATACTGGCCAAACAGTACCAATTATCACAGCATTATCTTTCTGAAAGATCATGGACTAACGTGAAAATCAGAAAGAATGGCTACGACTGAGTGACGTGAATGGGAAATTAAAAATAATAAATCAGAGTAGAACAGAGTGTTATTCAGAAAAGTGGAACGAAGTAGAAACCACCTAAAAGCAGGCCAACAGTCTTTTCCACACCAGTACTGTAGGCAAATCTTAGGACTTAGAAGAAGGTGGAAGGAACAAAGGCAGCAAGAGACCAAATGAAACATGTTTCTGTGCGATAATTTCCATCTTACCTTTTTAGTATGTTTGATTTTATAAGGACTCAGTTTTTCTAAATCATCCTGAATTTTTTTCACCTGTTCATCAAGAGGGGGAGCAGGGAAAATGAGTTAGAATTAGCTCCATGTCTATAAATGAACAATGTTTTCACTGTAACATCTGAGTGAAAGATTTTTCCCCCCTCAACAGTGATGCTCATATCTCTAAAACCACTCATAAGTGAAATCGGTCACACCACTCAGATCCAAACTAGAATGTCATGGAAATTCAGACATGTTTCCATTAATCTGGATTGTTTCAGTTCACTTCTGTCAAATTTATCACAATAAACATCCCAATTTGAAATGCTAGTTGTACCTGTTGCTGGAGTACATACAGCATCTGAGCAGACCGCGCAGCTTGCTTCTGTCTTTGAGTGCAAACTTGGTGCTGTTCATCAGCATCTAAGTTTTCTTCATCTCTCTCTGAAAAGCATGAAATATTAAGTTTTATGCCTTAATTTAACATGTGAAAATCTTGATTAAGCCAAATGAACAAATATAATTTAGCAATAAGAATCTTTTATGCAGAGCATCCTGGGGCAGTAATGAAAGCTAGCTACTTCAACTCTACATTATGTATCTGCTTAATATTTGACTAAATACTTTTACACAACACACCTTTTCAGATACAGTTCACAAAATTACTCATGACTCCTTAAGTTCACAACAAACTTGCAAGTAAAACGCTCCAAGTTAGAAATAAATTTAAACCTCCAGGTAGTTATAATAAAGGGACCAATGCAATGTTATGGGTCTGGCTGGGATGAGTTTACTTTTTTCCACAGTGACATGTACAGAGCTGTTTTGGATTTATAACTTAAAACATGGCTGATAACACATCCAAGTTTTGTCTTTTGCTGTGGAGCAGGTGCACAGTTTCAAGTATCAGAGTTTCAACTATGTCCCCTGTGTGAGTAGGCAGGGGGTATGCAAGAAGTTGTGAGGGCTCACAGATGGGACAGCTGAACCAAACCAAAAACAAACAAAAAAAAAAAAAAAAAGGGATACCCACAGAATCACAGAATTGTAGGGGTTGGAAGGGACCTCCAGAGATCATTGAGTCCAACCCCCCTGCCAAAGCAGGTTCCCTACAGCAGGTCGCACAGGTCGGCATCCAGGCAGGTACCCCATGCTGTATAACAGCACGCTCAGCAATAAAAAAAAAATTAAGAGTTTTGGGTGAAGGGAGAAACATAGCCATTGCCCAGAGATTGGCTGGGCACTGGACTACTTGTGAGAGACAGCATGTGATCACCACTGCATCATCTTCTTTGTTTTTCAATTTTCCCTTCACTTACTAAGCTACCTATTTCCCAACTCATAAGTTTTCTTGCTTTTGCTCTTCCTGTTCTCTCCTCTGTTCTGCTAGAGGAGACGATAAGCTTAAGCAGCTCTGTGGTGTTTTCATATTTAGACCAACACAGTGTCAGAAAGGACATTAATCATTACACCACACACCTATAAGCTAGGTAAGTCAGTTGACTCTTTTCACAGCTAAGAACGTGGTTAATCATTGTATTGCATTTTGCAGTCAGAAGCTTGAGCTAATACGTCTACACCAATATTAGGTTATTAATTAGACTAGCACTAATTTACTGCCATTTCAAGCTGAACTGGAACTCACTACAAATACTCAAAGATATTAAACCCTGTTATTATCTGTCCTAGCTAATTATTCCAGTTGTTCTTCCTATTCTCAAAAATCTAGAATGAATCTGATTTTAATCCAAGACAAAAAACAAAAGACAAAAACAATGAGTAGAACAAATCAAGTAGAAAAAAATCAAAGAACAAATCAACAAACTCTCATGCATTTACATACAATAATTATTGTTCAGTCTTACACCTTTTTTAGTTAGGTCTTCAATTTTCTGGACACAACTTCTTAATTCTTTTTGCAGCTGTTGGATTTCAATAATATTTTTATTTTCCTTTATTTTAACTGTTGTCTTGGGGTCTGGTCTTGTATTATGGGTGAGCGAAGAGCCTAAACCAGCTGGTATTAGCATTCTCTCATTTGGTGTGTAGAGAAATACTTTTGTACCAGAGGAAGTAGTCTTCATTTTGGAAGGCTCAACAAGTTTCTGGTGATATTTCAGCTGAGTTTGAGACTCAAGCCCAATTTTCTTTTCCAGACTTTCAGACGCTCTGTTTATCTGCTCTTGTGACTTCTGGGCTAACAATGATTTATTGACAGCATCTCTAAACACCTGTTGTTTCACTTGCTCTTCAAGATGCCTTCGTTTTATGTCCCTTTTAGCTAGATGAATAGCCAATTTTAGTCTCTCTTCAGATATCACTGAAAACATGCCAGAGCTTCTTATACTGGGGTCATCACTTCCACCTAGATTTCTCTGATCGTTAGATGACTTCAGTTTTTCTATTATAATTGGATGGGGGTTAGAGAACCTGAGAGATAAGTTTTCCGGAACTGCTGGAACATTCCTATTAAACTGGAGCTGTTTTAAAGTGTAAACAGAAATTCATGTTACACACAACCATTTACGTGAACGAGGCACCTCTAGTGCACAACACTAAGGAAAGCAAAGCCTCTTTCATATTACAGTACTGTATAATCGATGAATATACAGATGTTATAATTATGAAATACACAAGAGAGTTTGGCTAAGCAGGTTATCATACCAAAGAGAAAAGAGAGAGTGCTTACCCTCATCCTAGACCTACTGCAAAACTCCAAAGGAGGGATCTCCAGAAGAGATCTTTTCCCAGTGGCAGTCAGCTCTTAAATGGGTCTAGGAGAAGTGCAGCCAGGCTCCACCCCTTCCAGCAGCACAGGTGAATTGCCTTCAGCTGTGCTCCCAGGGCTGACTCATTGCTTGCCTCAGGTGGTCAATCAGAGGTTCAGGCCATGATTCAGCATTCTGTCACTATGGTACTTCTCCAGCACATGCAAGAATTCCCTCCACTCAGATAAACGTCAGTATTCAAAATGACCTTGAATTACGCATGTAGGTATCCTTGTAAATAACACTGCATACATATTTACACCTTTGGGTAGGCACCCACAGTGAAAAATCTGCTCCAAAATGACAATGTAACAGACAATACCATTGCAAAGACTTTAAAGAATTCTAGCAATGAAATTAATAAGTTGTAATGGCAATATAAAAAGGTATTATTTGTATCATATGAGAAGCAGAGTTACAAAGGTAACAGATACATGATGAAGGATAAATGGAAAGCCAAAATGCGGTAACAGAATGAAGTTTCTACGTTCAGTGCCTATGTGGTAAAGTAAGAGGCTAAGACAGACAAACAGTATTTATAGGTGCAGTTTCAGTTCCATGCAGGAAAAAAAAAAAACAAAAAGGGTTAAGATTATGAGTGACAGTGTTGTGAAAGCAAGTATGAAGATCTCACATTCATGAGTGGCCTACATCAGGAAATGGGTCTCACTCATCTTTTTGTAGTGATCACAAATGAAAACCACTTCAGCACTGCTGAAATATTCAAACAATACCTGCTGTCGTAAAGACTTTGCTTCATTCCTGTACAGCTGGGTAGTGGGTGAAAATGGAGCACCAGACAAAGGTGGCTTGCTTGGTCCCATCACGTTGACCTGATGCTGAAAATAGTTACTTTAACATACATTATTATAGTTATTAACAGTTATTATAATCATACTATTGCTATGCTCATGCTATTTCTATCTCTGAAAAGGAATCTTAAGTGCATAAAAAACAAATAGAGAACCAACCTGAGGAAGCACACAGGAACAGGAAATAGATCAAGTGTCTTTAAACAGGCAGCGTGCAAAATGGGAAGTACGTTCCTGCTACTTAATGCAACATTTACTGTTTACATCCTTCTTTTACACACTCCCAGAAACACCGAGGAGCGCCGCCACAGGCCGTGAGGCTCACGTTACGGCCCCTCGGAACACTACAGGACTTCCATAGCCGTCACCTACCTACAGGGGAACGGCGTACTGCAGAAGTGTGAGAACAGAGTAGGGCAGCGCTCAGGGAAGCAAGCTCGTGCCTTATCGCCAAAGGAATGTCGATCACCGGACGTTCTTCAAATAGAAGAGTTTGAAATATAAGCTACTTGTCGAGATAGTCAGAAAATTATCTCTCTCGGATTTGACCTTGGGAATTAAAAACCGAAGCTACTGCTTCTTTAGCAGCCGAATCGGGGCTTTGCCGCCGCTCCTCGGCCCGCCCCGCCCGCCGCCGCCGCCGCCGAGCTCACCGACCCGCGCCCGCCCGAGGCCAGGAGGGCAGCGGAAAGCCGCGAGTTGCGCCCGGCGACCCAAACCCCGCCGGGGCGACCCGCAGCAGGCCGCTCCTCAGGCACCGGCAGGAAGCCACGACCGCCCGCGCGCCCTGCAGGAGCCCGGCCCGGCCCGCTGGGCGGAGCGGTTCAAACCCGCTGTGGGCGACCGCCGCCGCCGAGGCTGTCGGGAAGCAGCGCGGCGCCGCAGTACGGCATACGGGACGGGGCCGCACCTTCCCGCCCCCGGTTGCCGCTTACCGCAGGCGCCATGGGCTGGGAGGAGAAGCAGGTCCGCGGGTACGGCGAATTCGTGCAGACGGCGCAGCGCTACCACGGTCGGCCGATCTTCGCGCTCTTCTGCGGCGACAAGGATGCAGAGGGCCGGAGCTGGTGCCCGGACTGCGTGACTGGTGAGGCCCGGGGAGGTGCGGAGGCTCCGCCAGGAACTCCGGCCGCCTCCTCTCGGCCCGCGTGGCGCCGGCGCAAGGCGCTCTCGTTGGTCTGAGGCGGGCGGAGCGGCGCTGGGCGGCCTCGTGGGGGACGCGGCGGGCACTCCGGGCGGTCGCGGCGCGGAGGCCGAACCTCTTAGCGCGCGGACGGGCGCGGACTGCCGTCTCCCGCTGCGGTTACCCTTGTCCTTAATCCGGCCGCCGCTGCAGGCCGCTGTGGCCGGGAGCTGCCGCCGCTGCTGCAGTGCCTAGCCGCCCGCGCGTGGGACGTAACGCCGGTCAGCAGAGGCTGGCACAGAGGATGGTTTTTCTGTCTCAGCAAAGAATTCGATGTAAATCTTGCATGAATCTACTTCTGCTTTGCCTAACAAAAGGCAGAAATAACTTACCCGTGTTCGGGAATGGAATACAAAGGCAGGTCCTCAGAATGCGTCACACTGAACTTTCAGGATCGTATCTGCCGGATTACGCAGGGCAGCAGCTTGCCGCTGTTCTGCTCGGTCTCCTCCAGTCAGCAGACCGCATGTTCTGACTTGTTAGAGCAGCAGTTGGGCTTCGTGCGAAGGCCGGTCCCTTTAACATTGACAACATGCATTCTGCAGTGCTTATGGATGACCACGTGAAACAGCATAGATCTCTGCCCGAAGCAGACAGTGTTAGATAGCAGCACTGCTGGTCAGACTAAATGCTTGTGCTTCTGTAGCATGGTGTATTAACACTGAGAAATTACTCTCTAGCTGAACCAGTTGTGAGGAACGAACTTCATAACATGCCTGATGAATCAGTGTTCATCTACTGTCTTGTTGGAGACAGAGCCTAGTAAGTAACTGTTTTAATGCAAACAAACATTTCTTAGCTCTTCCTGGCCTGGAAGTTAACTAACCTGTTGGTACTAACAACAGAATTAGTTCTGTGACTGTAGAGGTCTACAGTTCCCTTAAGTGGACTACTTGCATGCTTATTCTAACAAGCTAATGGGGAGGTGGGAGGCAGAATCATCCCTTTGAAAGAATTTTAACAGTCGAATTTCAAACTGTATTTTTACAAGTTCTGTGTAACTACACTCTTTGCTAACAGCTGGAAAGATCCTAACAATGAATTCAGGAAGAATCTGAAACTAACAGGAGTGCCTACACTACTTAAATACGGAACAGTAAGTCATTTATTGTATGCTGTGGGTCTACATGTTTTCTGATACCTTCTCTTGTTTCAGGAGAATGGACAGTGTGGGACACCTTTCCACTCTTATCCATGCACTTTTTCTAGTTCAGATTAGTTTTCTCCCAGGGAACTACCTTCCTCCTGTAGAACGTTCTCTGTAATGAACTTATCAAATAAAATACATACACTTAACACATCTTGTTTGAGGGGTAGGCTAAGTACTTAGCAACATGTTGTCAGTTTTCTGACTTCTCAAGTATTAAGAACTCCAAATGCTGGATTATAGTATAGTAGGATTGTGGGTAGCATACTCCTAATTCAGACAGACTACAGCTCTCACTCTTGTGTACTCTCCTATGTAACGAAAACATTTACATTCCACACCAAGATTTAGCTTGGACCCACTATTTAAATCAACAGTTACTTTTGTAGGAATGCTTCAAAGAACAGAAAACACACAGGCATTTTTCATCTATCCTTACACTGCTTTTTCTGCTCCACACACCAACTCCCACTTGCCATCTAGCAATAACAGTTGCTGTAGTATGGCTAATACTATTAGGTGCAAATAGCTCTAGTCTAGAACAGATTTTTTAATTACTCCTAAAAACATCTTTTCTTTCAGCCTCAGAAGTTGGTTGAAGAAGAATGTTTTAAAGCGGATCTTGTGCGTATGTTGTTTACTGAAGATTAAATCCTCCAGTAGTCAATCATTTATGAAGATGTTTGTCTTGTTAATTGCATTGCTCTTTCCTGGAATCCTCACTTCCCCCTCCACCCCCCCAAACTGTCATGGTAAATTACTTTTGTCTAATCAAGATGAATGTCATTAAATTCTAGGTTCAAACCTTTTCACTAAAGTCTTGCAACAAAAAAGTTTTCTTTTCTTCGTTGAAATAAATTTTAGTCTGCCAAGTCTCTTTACAAAGAAACCAAGCTCAAAATGCAAACCAAGGTGGTAGCCTACTTTTACTTAACAGTAATACTTAATGACTAAGTTAGACCTTTTAATAGTCGATGAGGGGGAGGTGGAGAAGAGCGGTAGAAGAAAATACTTTTTCTTCCTGAAGCTAATTTTATGCAACTGCTGAAGCTGTCAAGATAAGTTTTTAATATAATGTTTAATGGCTGATCTGTTCAGCACCAAGTATGATGAGGTGAGGGCCAGCAGTCTCCCTGTCACTGTGCTGCTGCACCTACTCCTACAAGAATATGAAATACAATGTGAATACAGCATGAACACAATCTAAAATATGAAAATGAAATCCTTCACAGCTGCCGTGATCTACATTCTTACAGAAAAAAACAACAACCTAACAGCTATACAAGAAGGCATGATAAATGTTTCTCCAATTTTGCAAGTGTTTACAACTTCTTTGTAACAGAACCTAAGAAAACAGGCCATAGCTCTGTTCCACTAAAGTTTCTCATTACCCATCTTTGCTCCACTCTGGTAGTCCTTATCTCTTCACACTTCATTTTTTTGTCTCTAAAATACATTGTGAAGAGAATTCTTAAGACACCCCTGCCCACACCCTCAAAGAAAGCAAGTAAACAGAATGGACAAGTAATAGCTCAGCTTCATTTCCAGGCAGAAAATTACAAATTCAATTTTGTGCAACAGCCATAATCACTTCAGCTTTGCTCATAAAGAGCAGTACATCGTAGTCACGACGCTCGGAGACATATCATTGTTCTCCACAAAACATGCCTGCACTGTAGAAACTTCTGAACTACGTTTTTTGTTGATACAACAATGTCAGTGCCCTCAAAAATTAGGCTTGGTTTTCAAAAGGAACAAATACCGTAAGTAATACTCTTAACAAGATTGCCCATGCTACAAAAGAAATGGCAGTAGATTTTTACAATAGGAGACTGAAACATGTTACAAGCTGGTGAAAGACAAAGTCACTTGACATCACACATTAAGTGTATACACACAGCAAAACCTACAAAAGACAAAAGACTTCATTCCTTTCTTGTAAATACTTGGATTAATGCGAAGTATACATTATCATCGCTCTTCCAAGTGCTTTTCATTTTACAGAGGTGTTGTTTTGTTGCTGCTGCTCTGCTAGTGCTTGCTGCAGGCGCATTCTCTTCCGTGAATAGTGCTGCCAGTGAAGAATCTGCTGCTCATCAATAAACTTTGCACACTGAGCATTTACCAGTTCTTTGCGAAAGTGTTCATACTGGAGCAGCTCTAACATATGCAAACACTGAGGATACCTGGATTTAAAAAAATGAGTTTTACAAGGTACACTAAAGCTGGAGTCTCCAGTATCTCCCCAGTTCGTTATTTTAGTCATTTAATGCTTTATGCAAGTACTTGAAACACAGGGCTGTACATATGCAGTGTAACTTAATATCTTCAGTAACTACAAAGCCAGAAAACATGGAATCTAATAACAGCATAAGTGCATAACATACCTGATTAGAATAACTTTTCCAAAGATTAGATTTCGTTAAAACAAATACAAATTAACTAGAACAGCTGTTTCCAGAGCTCATTTGAAGTAAACAAAAACTGTTCAAAAACTGTGAAAGAGTTTTAACATTAACAGAAAAATGATTCTTTGTGTAGGTACTAACAGTGCAAAAGTCACTCTCAGAATATATTTAGTGGGCTGAAGTAGTTTTGTCCCATGATGTTCAGTAATCTTGTTTTAAGCAGATACAAAGCGCAGATAAAGGTTGCAAAAGGCAAATTACACGCAGAAGTCAAGAGTGAAACGTTCTCTAATTCTGTCTATTCCAGACTACAGGAAACAGGAAAATTTATACTGCATATAAACACAGTGCAGGTTTTGGTTGCAGGGAGAAATCAAATATGGACATGGTACTTTACAGTGCATAACAGAAGGTAAAAATCATTAAAATGCAGAAACCTAAGGGAGTTTAATACTTACTTCAAGTATTTTGCATATTCAGGTTCTTTCCAATACAGTAAATATTTAAGATAGTTTACAAAAGCTTTGTCTTTGAAGTATCCTCTTTGTGCAAGAACTGAAATAACAGACAAGGAATTGTCAAAAATTTGCCAAAGTTGATGAATATGTATTCACAAAACTATACAAAAGAGGCACGCGAGTCATAGTTTCATCACTGCAAGTTTTTACAACTCAGTAAAAAATGTATCTTAACATTCTAAGTACAGTGAGTTGGTCTCATCTCCTCTGCCATATAACTTTTACAAGGATGTGAAAAGTTTTCAAAACCAGGAACTTCTGACACATCAAAACTGTCAGAGAAAACCAAAGAAATTAAGTACTCTACCTGAAACTATTATTAGTATTAGTTAAATTCTGGTTTCAGATAAAAGAGTACTTCTTAGATTGAAATTAATATTATTTATTTTTTTACTACAGATGTGAACTTATTCTCCACTAGACAGATGCATTTTATTTCAATAAATATTTATTTCACATTTTAAAGGTATTGTTTCCTCCCTCTTCCACCTCACCTTTGAAATTTGGACAAATTAAAGCATTCTTGGACTGCTTTTATCCTCTTAAAGACTCTTCCCTTTTCTTTGTTTAGCCTTTCTCCTCCTCCCCCCCGTTTATTTGTAATCATTCTGTAATCATTAAGCTGTTAAATAATATTAACTTCTCAGGACTCTGACATTAAGTACTCACAGTTGAGATAATTGGGATTTGCTAGGCACTGAACAAACTCCAACTCCAGCTGGAACCGAAGTCGATTTCCTGTATCATCTGATCAGGTGAGAAAACAAAGTAAAAACTGGACCCACGTGATAGATTTGGAAGTGAGTTTCTCAGTTTGCACCATACAAATAGAAACATTTAGAGAGGAGATAAAGCAGTAATATGGGTTCTCTTGGCACAGTCTTTTCTATTACATGAATCTGTGTTGGGCTCATGTTAATGTGTGCTGTTAGTGCTTTAAACAACTAAACATGATGCAAATAACAGAGAAATACCCTCTGACTCCATGTAGAATAAAGGGAAAGGGAAGAGAAAGGGATCAGGTATTGGTAGAAGGAAAATTTGAGAAGGTAAGTAAAGAGTACTGCTAACAGCTCACTGAAAGCTTCCTTGCACATAATTTAAGAAATGCTTACTGTGAGGCTGCCTTTTTTGTTTGTTTTGTACAAAGATGTCACACTTCAGTGAGAATCCTGCAGTGTTCTCACACTAATGGCGTACAGTGGACAGGGGTGACATATCCAGGGGTCAGCACGATTCTACCGTCCTATGAAGAAAGGCTGAGGGAGCTGGGCTTGCTCAGCCTGGAGAAGAGAAGGCTTAGGGAGACCTTAGTGTGGTCTTTTCCATATGGAAAGGGAGCTTATAAAAGAAGATGGAGGCTTAACTTTTCACCCTGACTAAAAACAACAAGGGGAACGAAAAACAAACAAACAAAAAAAAGGCAGGTTAGATGTCAGGCAGAAATTCTTTTCTGGCAGGGCGGCGAGGCCCTGGCTGCCCAGAACCGTGGTGCCCCGCGCCCGGAGGTGCATCAGGGCGGGCTGGAAGGGGCCCCGCGGAGGTGCTCTGGCGGGAGGTCCCCAGCGCGGCGGAGTTGGAACAAGCCGGCCTGCAAGGTCCCTTCCGTCCCACCGTTCGGGTCTCTATGAAAGATTTAGCTCCCCGACCACAGACGCAACGTGGGGTGCCTCCGCTGCCACGGCGTCCGGGAAGAGCCGCGGCGTCTCCGCGAACGACGCGAAGCACTCCAACGGGGCAAACCGGCGCTCTCTCCCTGGTCAGCATCGCTCGCCCTGCCCAACGCCCGCCGCGCCGCGCCGCAACGCGCCTCTCACCTGTGTCCATGGCGGCCAGCCGGGCTGCGCCCCCCGCCCGGGCTCAATATGGCGGCGGGAACGCCCGCTGTCGGCAGACGGAAGCCCGGAGGGCGGTGCAGCGGGGTGAGCTGGGAAGGCGGCGGCGTCTCCTGGCAACGAGCTGCGCCGCGCGGCCGGGCCTGCGGAAGTGGGTGTCGCCGATGCAGGCGGCGGCTCGCGGTGGCAGCCACGTCGGCTGCGGGACACGGGCCTGGAACTTACTGGCACTGCTGTAGCTCTTCTGGGAGGCAGAGACGTGGCGTCAAGACCTCTTTTTTTTTTCCCGTCGATTTTTGGACATATGTTTTCATGATTGTGCCATGAGCAAGCCAGTGCTGAAGATCTCCCAGGAGGGCCTCATATTCCAATCTGAGCTATTCATACTCTAACATCACTGATTTAATGATGTGCATTGTGTAGAAAACTACCTTTTGAAAAAAAAAAAAAAAAAACTTGGAGTAACTTTTTTTTTTTCCCCTTTATTTTGAAAGGAAGCTGTTACCAGACAGGCAATACAGTTCCAAATCCATTAGAAGGTACCTTTGGGATCAGCATTCTGTTTTTTTTCTAGGCATGTGTGTGCTTGAGCAGTGAAAGGTAAAAGAGGACTGTATGCCCGGAACATTCATTTTAGCCTTGCGCTGGATGAGCCATTGTTGAACATTTCCAAATCAGAAGGAAATGGAAGGGAGGGAATCACTCCTGACAGACAGACCTGTTTTGCTGGTTGTTTTTCAGTCGTTGGTTGGGTTGTTGTTTCTTTGCTTTTCTTACTCTTTCTGCATGTTAGACTTTTTTTTTTTTTTTTTTTCCCATTTTACCTATGGTAAGCTGATTTCAGTCAACCTCTACAGTTTATTCATTAAAAAGTTGTATCACAGTGAAACCAATTAAACAAACGCTACCGGAACGTGGAACAGGACTGCACTGTTGCATCTAGAAAAGAGTCCAGCATTCGGATTGCAAGTTTATTCCTAATGCTGCATTTATGGTTGGGGTCCCACACTCAATTTTCCTATCTTGGTTAAAACAAAAACTGGTAGGGTTTGCATTGCATTATTAGACACTTGCGTACCAGTATGCACTACACAGACTCAACATGAATCCTGACTAATTCTTTTTTTAAATTTGTGATTTGCGCTTTTCAGTTCTTAAACTATTTTCAGTGTCTTAGCATTTTTCTGTAATGCTATCTCTTTCTGTGTAGTGTAATTATTCCCCCTTAGCCCCACTAGAAATTAGGTTATAAGACTGCCTAAAAAAGACTTCTGCATTACTTTCCTTAATAAAATAGGACTTTTTTTTTTAACAAGGTTTTAGTGGTTGTGAATACTAACATTACTATAACAAAATTAGCCAGTCACTCCCCAGTAAACATAGACTTTCGTCTAAAAGCAGAGATCAAACAGATCCCATGCATCTGCAGTGCTATTCTGGAATGTGATTTATCTCCCAAGACTGACTTCAGAGGAGAGAATCCTAAGAAAGGCTTGGTCACATGAATTAAATTACTATGTAGGTTTGCCAGAGTAAAGTGAAAGAACTCAATTCTTGGCCATCAAAACTAGGAACAAAATTGAAAGTTAGAGTTATACTACAAAAACTAAGAATGTTCTCTAGGAAAAGCTGATTTATGCTTTTAAATATTAGCTTAGTCAGACTTCAGGGAAGAGATTAAAATTCATATCTTAGCCAAGAGTTTTCTTTTTTATCATCATGAAATCAAAGCATCACAGTCTCGGTTTCTCCTTTTGTAGGAGTTAAACTGCTATCCCTATTGTTCTGTGTTTGAGCACTGGCACGGAACCCTTGTTTTCCTAAAGCATTTTGAGAGTATGCTAATAGTAGATCTAGATATAAAACAGACACTGGCTAACAAACAGACTAGATAATGTTTTCTACCCGAAGCAAATAAAGCTATTCAAAGTTAAAAATTACACTCAAAAAAAGGACACTTTGCTGCAGTAGTAATTATAGACAGCATCAGGTAGGTGACAATAAAATCAAGTTTGTGATATGTCCTTATGAATTATATATTTAGGAATTATATATTTATACACAGGAGAAAGTAGAGTCTCGTATGATGTGCTATGAGCTCCTGAAGATGAAAACTGGGAAGTGAGACACTGCTAAGAGTTTATGATATCACAGTACAGTGCATTTGCATCAAAAAGAAAATGTTCAGGAAAGCTTTACAACTGAAAACAACGATCTCATTGAACAGTAAGTACTTCATGCCCGATGCTTAGACCCTCAGACATCTGCTTTTTTTGTAGAATGCAAAATTATATTGACATGGATAATGACATCTTAAAAGATCTTTCTCGTAGAATGTAATACAGAATTTTGCAGACTGGAGAGTAGTCTGCTTCAAATAGAGTTAAATAACAGAGAACAGAGCATGCATTATGTTAGCATTATGTTATAAATATACCCAGCCAGTACAAACTCTGCAATTTTTTTACTCCAGTGTTATAATTACAATTGAATAGAAGCAAGATCATAGTTATTACTGACTGAAACAATTGTTAGAGCATATTTAGTTAAAGGCTTAACTATTCATCAAGGGGGTTTTTGTTTGTTTTTTTAGGTCAAGTAATAGGCAGGTAACACCTTTCAGAAGTGAACCTATCACAGTCAACATAGAACAGTCTTCATTTGAAGACTATTAAACTCCATTGAGCGAAGAAGTAAGTTTGGCAAAAAGGTGTAAAAAGACTTGGATGTCTGTGGTTTACAGACCTGGCAATGTGTACTCATATAACTATGGTTCTCCTCCATATACAGAAGGCCAATATGAAGCCAAGAATTCCAAACCAAAAGGCAAATGTTCAGAAAGCATTTTGTTTTTCTTTAATAAATCGGTTAGAAATGTCAGTCTTCTTAGGACATGCACAATACGGATAACTTTGAGGTCAACCTTTTGTAAGGAGCAATATGATTTGAACTTTAGAACAACACTGCAATGAACATCTTCACAAGGTATTGCTTGTCATTTTGAAGCAAATTTTAAGGTGCTTTAAGGAAATAATTCTGTAGTGAGCCAAGAAATATGGGACCTTATTTAAAAAAAAATAGAGAAGCATCCTGGCTCCACAACTGACGACAAAGTTTGAAAATGTGACCTTCTCCTCCATAACAGCCTAAAATTCAAGAGCTAGATGAGCACACCATCACCCCACATGCAGAAGTACTGACTAACTAAATTTTGGATGTCTAACTGAAATTTGGATGTCTAGTTTAGGTTGTTCGGATTTGGCTATACCAAAACAGCAGATAAATTGGTTTTGTAGGTTTTGTAACTGATAAATACATTTTAATCCCCCTCCTCCCAATTTCCAGACATGAACAACAGAAACAAGTAGTAGATTATTGCACAGAGCTTCTCTGACAGCTCATAGACTGAATTCTTGCCTAGTGAAGGGGGTCAAAAGCTCAAAGCTTTCCTGAAATTTTGAGGGGAATGGAAGAGCACTAGCATAATTGTCTAGAAAAATAAAGTTGGTAGATCATGCACATTCAACTTGTTCATCCCAGAAATGCTGAATGGGCCAAACTGCTGTAACCTCTGCTGGAAATCCAGATCCCAAAGAGCTTTAGACTTAAGGATGCTTAGGACAAGTGCTAAACCACATGCACTATTTAGATGGATTGTTATTAGCAGAAGCATTTCCAGTGTGCAGTACTGCTAGCCCATCAGTCCTCTTATTCAAGAGAACAGGGTCTTTAATTCCACTAATTTATTATTGTTTATTTCTGCCATCAGGTCTATAATGCTGATAGACATAAGTATTAATATTTAGATAAAAATGAGTCATGCTAGTGAAATCGTTGTGGCTAAATAGAAAAAAACAAGAAATCAATTGTTTGGATTTTCTTTTTTTTTCTATTATCATCTCACCTGCCTGATTTGAGAGAATCAAGAGAACTAGATTCTTCTGATCTTGTACAGGAATATACAGCTGCACTTGAAATAGTATTGCACTTTTATAGCTGAAGAAAAGAGTGCTAGAAACACAAGGTCTCTGGTAATGAAAATGTTATGATTCGTGGGATTCTTTCCTGCTGGCAAGTAAAACTTGAAATATCCCATACAAATTCACCCACAAGCTCATCCACCCATGATGAAAATAACTTTAATTCTTGGTCATTGCAAAGGTGGTATACAAACAGTTACAATTTCATGGATGCCTAAATATTTGGCAACAACATAAGACCCTTCTTTAGTTGCTTGCTAGCCAGCCTGTCAATACTTACAGTTAAGATTGTACAGCACTTATTCAAACAAAAATGCTGAACTCCTTAGGGAGCAAATCTAAATATAACTCATGTAGACAAGTCCTATAATCTCTGAACATCAGGCCTACACTAGAATGGACTATGTCCATGTATACTTAAATAATGTGAAGTAACCTGGAGCTTATGAATAATTACACAGCAGTGTAAAACACACCTTGACATGTTACTTGTGTTGTGTTCAATTTTATTTCTTGCCATATTGCAGAGTTAAAATCTTAATTAAAATATTTTTAATAATCGCTATAGAATCACATTTTCTCTGGGATAAGTTCATCAGTCTCTCTTGGCCCCCTGCTCATATGTTACAATTAATAACCTGTTTGTCAGCTGTTTGAGGGTTTTTTTTTAAGCCTAATGAAAGCAGCCTATTGTATTTTGAATCTGTTCTTTCCTAAGCTACTTTCTACATTAAAAAAAATAATAGTGAAAAAAAATTAATGTACATGTTTGTAGAGAACACTAAGGAACGTTTGTATCTCTTCCTATAATAATTTCAGAACTGTTTGATCTTGCAGACCTCCTGTTCTACCACTGCAAGAACAAAAGGAGCAGATGTGCCAGGATTTGTTCCTTGATTATTTTTCTTTCTCTTGAGCACATTGAGATCAATAGAATACTTCACATTTCCTTAACTGACTTTGGGTCTCTCACCACCTTAACTCTACAATTTGCTTTGGAAATTCAAGAGAAAAGATAAAAATCTAGTGCAAGATTAGCATCCAGGGACGACCTTTCTCTTGAATCAGAAAAGTAATTATAAAAGCTAAAGGGAAAGAGTACGCAATGAATATCTGTTCACCTGGGATTCGAGTCACCACTGTCAATTCATGTACTTTTATTTATCTTTTGGATTTGGTGGACAGATCACTTGCTTGAGAAGGAATTGGCTGGATGGTTGCACTCAGAGAATTGCGGTAAGTGGCTCAATGTCCACGTGGAGACTGGTGGCAAGCGGTGTTCCTCAGGGACCAGTGCTAACATCTTGGTAGGAGACACGGACAGTGGGATTGAGTGCAGCCTCAGCCAGTCTGCAGACGACACCAAGCTCAGTGGTTCAGTTAACATGCTAGATGATCTTAAAGGCCGCTTCTAACCCAAACCATCCTAGGACTTTTGCCTTCTAGGATTTATGCCTCCCAAAACATTTAGGGCCTTTTTTCTGATCCTGATTCCCACTCTTAGAGGTGATAAAGCTAGAGGGAGAAAAAACCATCCTTGTAATTTTAATTCCTTAAAGCTTCTCAGGAGGCAGAGAATCCTGACCTTCTCCCTAACTATATGATACTGTGCAGGTACCAGTCTGCAGGTAGATCAGTTAAAATGCAGTGCAATGGAAGAACTCCACAATTGAGATAACAGCTGCAGTGATATATATAAATTAGCAAAGACTGGAGAGGTGTTTCATGAAGGACACATGCATCAAATTAACTCCTAGAATGCTGACCATCATCAGCTCCTATCAGTCCAAAATGAAAAAGAAAATAACTCTAATAGTTAGGCCCTAATCACTTGCAGGGAAAAAAGTCAATATTTATATATTTGAATACCTATTAGACAAGGGTAAATCTCCCAGTACAAATTCTCAAAGGATTGTTTTTAACTGGGACATTTCCAGTATATTAGGGTGATATATTATGATTTGCTCTTATTGATCTAGTTCACATATATAGACAGTTATGATAAAAAGAGTCAAGGGTAAGCTCTGAAACGAGACAGTGGAAGGCAGCTGAGGTTAAGGGGCTACTCTCAAGAAGTTTCAGCTGTTGTATTTTTCCCCCAGCCTTTGTTAAAAGAGGAGCTAAAACCTCCGCCACCTTCAGAGAAAATTTTATTTTTAACCATATGGTCAAGACAAGCTGTTGAAGAAAAATACACACTTGCTCCAGAAATAATCACTGCTTAATTGGAAAAAAAAAAAAAATCACTGCTTAATCAAAAAATGGTAGTAGTTTTATTTCTAATGGAAAATTTGATATTCAACTTGCTTGCCAAAATATTTGTGAAGACCCAACCCACATTATTGTTCACAAAGAATAATTCACACATGTTGGCTGTGATAGTATCTGGTACACCCAGTTCTGTCAACAGCATGGTCTAATTATGTTTTATGAGACCCACATTCTGACCTGTATGAGTTTATGAAAACTTCTTGAAAAGCTGCATGCTGAAAAAGACCACTGAGTAATTAGATGTGGGTAAATAAAGTAAACACAGAAAGGATAACTTTTTTTTTTTTTCCCCTGACATGAAGAACAACCTCTTCCTTATGACCAGAATAGACCATCTACATTTACACTGTAACTAATGAGCAACTGTTGACACAGTGCCACAGAAAAAAGACAAAAAAACTAGATGGGCAACCAAATCTTTTTCCTATAGTCAGATCTGTTTTTAAAAAGCTACCAAATACATTGTTTAACAATTCCTAATCGTCTTAGAGCAACGTGCTTTGCAAACCTTTTACTTTCCAAATGACTTCCAAGTGTCCAGGGCTGTAGTTTTATCACATCACACATGTGAAAACAATTATTTGCTGGTTCAGTATGACTGACTAACCTGTACTAACAAAGTCCACACTAAAATCCTGCCATGCTTTCTTTTGGTCAATGTTTTGAAGTGGGAGGAAAAGGGATTCTTTTATGCCACTATCTAAAGACAACTTGTACATAAAGCCAAAACATTTTGATTTGAAGAAAAACAAATGCCATGTCTCATGATTCTTATTCTGTAGTGCTGGAAGATAAACATAACTAGTTCCAGTAACAAAGCATTGTCTTTCCATTACCTATTGTAAATAACACATTTGCTTACTCAGGGCACAGGAGCAGGACGACACATATGCTTGACAGTGAAGAAAAATGTGTTCGCGCTCATTATTCTGGAGACTGTGCAAGTATATTTCTTAAAAAACTGCTGTGTTTCTTAGATTCTTATCTTTTATTCTGGAATGAACAGGACAGCTTGTAGCATATGCCACCAGCTTTGGTTCTGCCTGAGCATTTTTAAAGGCAGAAACTCAAGTTATCAATTAAATGATGAAAGGAAGCATTGATACACAGGCCTGAAGATAGTTGAAGCAGTGCTGAAATCTGCTTTGCACTGATTTTCTATGGTGTGTACTACTGTGGATCTTACTGGAGCAATATTATGCTACAGTGGAAGGTAATGCAGAAACAGGTGATCTGCTGTGTTACACAGGAGAAAATCTGTGCCAGACAGAAGATAGTCTTAATATTTTATTTGTCTGACTCTAATTCTGCAATTTGCCATTTAAATCAAATATTCATTTATAAAGATGTCATAAATAAGGATGTCTCAGAGGGATGTACTCAAGATCAACAAGGCAACAAGGTGACACATCAAGCGCACCACGTTTATTAAAGAGTCAGAGTCCTTTCTTTACACCACCATGAGTATTTTCCTCCCCGATCTGGCACGTCTGTAACTCACCCAGTGTAATCATTCCAGAAAATGACATCTGTTTTCTACTTTCATAACAGAAGAAAGCACTTTCCTAGCTGAGAGGAGGGCACTTTCTTCCCATCAAGATACTTTCAGAACGTTCCTTTCTGCAAACAGGAGAGGGAAGTGCCTGTCCTATACCCTCAAGCTGAAACCATTTTTTGAGGAATTTGGATCTGTATAAATTGAGAGAGGCAAGCTCAGTGTTACCCAGCCACACAAAGACCACTGTACCTCACCTGCAACAGTGAAGATCAAATGCTATGAAGAATCTTGCAGTTGAAGTGTCCTCATATTACAAGGACTGTCAAAACAAAAGTCACTTTCTCAAATGCAATTAGATATCTACAGATGCAAGTCAGCATTAAGTGATGATTTCCAAAGCATAGGAGGTGCTTAGTTGGTTCTGGCTTTACATCCTTAAATGAATACTGTGATAACCTTCAGGTGGTGACTAATACCTGTGACAAAGCTATTTCTTGGCAATAGAACTGATCTTTTCCTTAGAGAAACTTTGCAAGTGTTTATCCACACATCCCATCATTCCATGGAAGAGGTATGAGGCTGCATCATATGCAGCCAGCTAGGTAGACAGAATGCTATTGGAGATACCAGGAACAACAGTCAGTGGAGAGTTTATGGTGCGCAGCACCTTGAAAGACCATAGAAGATAAAAGCATGAAACTCAAATCAATACTGAAGAAATTTTCTGCTCATAAAAGCAACTAGTGATCTTGTGGATATATTCACTTGACTCGCTTTTAAAGTTGAAACATGAATATTTTTTACAGTTATGTAAGGAACATTCATGTAAACTACAAACCTGTTAAATATTCTACACACGTTATAGTGCCAGAGGCCAGATGTAGCTTTTTCCCCCCCCCCCAGGTGGAAAATTACCCCTAAAGTAGAAATAAGTTGACCCTTATTTCTTCACAACATCCTATGAGGTAGATAAGTTCTGTAATATCTTTTCAGAATGGGAAACAGAGATAAAAAGTAGTAAATTGACCTGCCTGAGGTTGTACAGCACATCCAGAAACAAAAACTTGGGTCATGATCATAGATGTGTCCACTACAACACAAGGCCTTACATCCCAACTTCATCTTCAAGGCTAAATAAACATTCATACACAATGACAAGATACACCTAGTCCAACATTAATTTTTTGACTGACTTTTGCTTCAGAAGTTACATGAATAGGTGCTACAGTTTTGTCACAGGACCTGGATTCTAAAGTACACAATCAGCACAAGCCCTGTCATTTGCACCCCTTATTGTTTGCAAGGCCTTCAATTAGAGCCTCTCTCTTGGCTTGTTTCCACTTCAAAATTCTACAGTTATTAAATGAGATGAATCCAGGACCTTTTCCAGTAGGTGTGAAGTCCTATGCTCGACCAGTCATTTCCTAGCTGGCACTAACAAAACCTGTGAAACCACATCTACCTGGAGCCCATGGAGGAAAGATTCTTGACCCTACCAGTGCAAGGAACACACAGCCAACATAATTGCTCAAGACTTCAACAGAATCATAACTAGCATGGCATCACATTATCCTGACTCTTGATAATGGCGTCTAAACGCACTGAGATCTGGGAATGAAAACAAGGTGATGAAAAACATTTGCATGCTGACTTGGAGACAGCTCACCACAAGGTTGAATCCAGATTAAAACATAACAGACTTTACCCTAAATAAGTGACACTGGGAATTTCTTTGTACAGCTGCTGACTTGTTGATATGTAGCAGTTAATGAATTGTCAGCTCTTAACTGGGTCCAATGACAATGATTTACAGATACATACCAGTGATAAAATAGTCCAAACTATTTGATACGACAGCTTACCCTCTTTTTATTTCATAAGTTAAATAAATTCTAACTCTTGACCTTGGGTGAAAATGCAGTGAATCACTTGATCATACTTATGATCCAAACATACCATCCTTAGGGTTGCATAATTAAACAGCACATTTGTCTCCAGCATGACTGTAATGAGTTGGTCCATACTTGATCTGATGTGTGACTCCCAGAAGGTAGCATCTAGCACTGGATCTGAAACAGTGACAAGGCTCTATGTTTCGGCAACAGGAAGTAGGATTATGGGGACTTTCCTTGTATAACATGAATTCTTCATTGCTCACTGATTAGTTGTGCTGTTTGCCCATGTTGGGAATGTGTCCAGCTCAAATATAGGTCTTCCCCACGTGTTGATTGCCAGTGTGACACAGAAGACTCCAATGATGTTCATTACTATTCCAGACCTAACCTAAAAGGATGAAAGTTCAAACCAACAACAACATAACAGCACAGCAAGTTATAGCAAGGCATATTCATTAAAAAAAAAAAAAAAAAAAAAAAAAAAAAAAAAAAGAACAAGGAAAGAAATAGTCAAAGCACAGAAACAGCCACAGTACCCACTGCCCTATGTTCTTGCTTAGATAGAAATACCAGGGAACGCACTGTCCAAAGCTACTGAATGCTTGCTGTTCAACAGGTCTAGGAGATTTAGTAGACTTTCAAGAAGCTGCTCATATTAGTTAAAGAGTAGCTTCCATGCCCTTCAAGATTTCAGTTAGAAAACTGATAATGTTTGGATGTTCAGCACAGAACCTGGTACTGTACAACCAGAAGACCAAAGTACAGGGTGACTGGACTTGTTACCTTTTACTTTCAGGTCTTTTATTTATCTTTGCAAAAGCCCCAGAAGACACTGGAAAGCACCAGCCACATTTTAATGCTTTGGTGTTTAAGAGACACTTGTCAGCTTTGACTTTTCAGTTGGACTAGAGAGTATGTCTGCCAAAGTCTGTGAGAAAGGTAATATTGCTGCAGAGACACCAATCCTTACAGTAGTAAAGAAAAGGGCATAAGTTATTAGTTACAGCCCATAAGAGTGCTCAGGTACTTTGTAAATATTAGGACAAGAAAATTAAACTCTTGTCATGTTTCAGGGGAAGTACAATGGAGAACTTCAGACAAGAGACCAGGCAGTTCATCATCTTACCATGTCCAAAACCCGGATGTGGCCATAGGAAAACACTATTGCATTTGGAGGTGTCGCAACAGGCAGCATGAAGGCAAAGGAAGCACTCAGAGTACTTGGCAGCATAACATACAAAGGGTGGATCTTGACAGATACAGCCTGCAACAAAACAAAGACAATTATCATGCTAGAAGTGTTTCAAAGAAAAAGAGAACATCTCCCAAACCTCTAAGACACATAGGTTCAGTTAATTCCCTGGTGTTACATCATCAGAGTAACTTTCAAGCATTTTATTATGGAATCTACATGCACTTAAAGATAACTTTGGTCTCTCTTCCCCACAGTACTTAAAAGAATGCTTGATTCTTTCTTGTTGCTCTACAGTATAATTTGGAGTTCTGGTCAAATTTACCCAGCAATCTTTTCTTTGACCTTGGGTTGCATTTTTAGAGCATTTGCTGGGTTAATACAAGGATGGAACTATAATTACAAAGCATGGGGAGTAACACTTTTAGACAGTACATAAACTTTGTGGGACTCAGAACTGCAGTGACTAGGAGCACAGCACCTTTATTTGGACAATTCTATCTTGATGAAATGACTTGGAAAGTACAGCCACTTTTTTCTAAGTTAAACAACAAAATATCTTATTTTTTTTCCTTCGTGCTTGCATTTCCATTCTGGTTAGAAAAGGCAGCAATTGCAACTGCTTTTATAGCAAAACTTACCAGGTTTTTCCTCCCTAAGGTTTAAAGTTGTTCTTTCTTAATACACAAAATGTATTCCTAATGATCAAGCCCACCACTTTTCATATTCTAGTGTAAATGATGAAGATAAAGGATCCCTCCAAAAGGATTAATAGAAGAAACTGGTGAGTATTTTTTTGCTTTAGATTTTCCAGTTCTGAGTTGATGGCTCAAATATAAAGTGACCAGAAATAATTGATGTAGAGTGAACTATATTAAAAAAGTGACTCTCTCTTCAGTTCCTCCCCAGCCAAGGGGCGCTCCTTATGGCAGGCTTGAAATGGCTTCCCAAGTTAGCTTCTTCCCCCAAGAAGCCAGTATCTCAGGCTTCAGGTGTATGGATAGGACAAACTGGATGAAGTCTGTATTCCTACTGCCCACCTGCTTACAATGTTATAAATATAGCAGTAGTCTTAAAGATATAAATTTGACTCTTTCTACCAACATCAGATAAAATCAATATCTATTAGGGTATGCTGTCAGATAGACTATTTCATTACTGGAATTCAGAGAACAAAAAAAACAAAAATGAGAAAGTAAATGTGATGTTTTGTCACTAGAAACTGTCTGTTTACTTCTGATCAGTCGATAGCATAACAAGATGGAAGCAATCTTACCATGGATGAAAAGACAGGTAGGAAGAGAGTGGCTGTGGCAACATTACTGGTGCATTCAGTGAAGACTGCTATAATAAGGGAAAGTACTGTTGCAATGGACCAGGGTGGAATAGATCCTAATGGAGTCATCTGACGACCCAGCCAACCTGAGAGTCCAGAGTTCTGATAAGAAAAAAAGTATTTTTTTCAGTGAGGTTTAGACTCCCTGGCTCAGGAGCAGAAAACTCATTATGGGTAGTGCTCCTAACAAATAATGCTAAGTGGCTCACAAATTGCATAACTGCCCCTCATGAAAGTTCAATAACCTGTCACAAACACTAAAAGGAATTTCTTGCCAACTGGACAAAACACTCAGCCACGCTTCCCTAATTTTCCTAGAGCCAAAATACTTGTTCATGTTTTGGTTATATATATATATATTTTTACTACATAGAAATAATTATTGCTGAGACTACTGCAAATACTTAATGAATCAGTCACAAGGTTCCTACAATGAATTTTTAATGTTTCTGAAGATAACAAGGCTGTATGAGTATTCTATGTTATGAAAACACAGCAATTGATTCAAAGTGCTTACAGAGCCTTTGACTAGACAGCTTGCAATATTCCAGAACTTTAATAACATAAATATGGTGAATGAATGTAACAGACCAGAGCTTTAATTTACCCCATTGTTTAAGAATTGTCTAGGCACAAAACTTAGACCTGAACAAGAACTTCCCCAAAGCATGACACGCTTGATATCTAAGGCTATGACTTTGATGCATCTTAGCACAACAAAGTGGGCTTCTATTTTTTTTAATTTTATTTTATTTTTTAATTCTTATGCTTCTATTTTTTCTAGTCAGGGATGGGATCAGGATGACAATAGAATTAAGAAAGGCTGCTCTCCTTATCTCTGCAGTCAGTGAAGATAAATTAGACAAACCTGATCAGTGCATGCAAGTTCCTGAAAAAGAGGTAGAAATATTCACCTTTTCTCTTATTTTTTGAGAATTTGTATCTACCTCCAAATGCAAACATTTCTACTGAGTTTGCCTTTGGGTGCATGCCCAGTAATACAGGACAGGAAAATAAACCAGGCAAGTCCACCTCTGAGTTAGAGAACAATAAATATCAGAACATACTGCGCTTGCATCAGCCAAAGCAAAACCTCCTCCCAGCAGCAGCACAATGTTCCAGGGCATCTTCCTCTGAACGACATTCCAGTCCAGCAGCGGGGCTGATAAAAATGGCTTCTTAATATCTGAAGTGAGAAATGAAAAGCAGAATAGATTTCAGGAGAGTGAAGCCATTTTGTCTCCAGTTCTTTAAGTTACAAGGGAAAGGTCCAGCAGCAGAGGTATGCTACTGAGAAACCTGCACATGTAAGAGTAAGGATAACACATACAAGCAGGGTGCTTGCCTCAGCCCTGCGCAGGATGTTCATGAAATGAAGTACCCTGAAGAAATGCACACAAATCAGGAGTATGTTTCTACATGTTAGCTGGAATAGGGTAACTTTCACAACATTACAATGCCTCTTTTAAATACCTTCTTCAGTCTGTTCAGTGTCAGACATGCTTGAACTCCAGCCTATGAATTTGGGTTTATTAGCAGGAAGGATGAACAGTAGCAGTGCAATAAACACAGCAGGAGCAGAATCAGTGATATATCTAAAGGAGAAAAGAGAAGATAGCTTAGAAAATAAGACACCTGTCTTCCAGAAAATGGTTGCCTTCCAGCATTGCAATCAGTGTTCCTTGTCTTTCTATTTGGGGTCTATATATTAGCAAAACAGATTGCTAGTTCATGACTCAGGTATCTTAGACCTGCCACAGCACAAACATCATAAATGAAATCAGCATACTATTAATCAAAATCACATATGAAAATGCTTCTGTAGGCAGGGTTACCTCCCTGGGAAGAAGCCAAGACTCAAAGACTGTATTTCAATGATTTGAAAGAAAATTACCTGAAAGATCTTCCTATCACAAGTTTTATGTTCTTAATATGCCACATTACATAACATCAGCTGAAAAAGCTATTCAAAGCAAAGAATTGATTTCCCAGTGGTTTCTATATATGCCATTTTTTAGAGATGATAGTACCAAATACTTGAACACCACAGCTAATTGTAACACATGCAAGGAAAACAGTGACATGTACTTCTGCATAACAGAAATAAGCATTGCAGAATTTTATCTTTCTTTAGGAAGCTCAGCCTGCCCCACGTCTCAGTCTTTAGCCTTCATTGCAATATAAACTGTCAAGTAGTTTGTAGATCTCATGCATGAGAGAAAATCCAGCCCAACAAACACAAATTCAAATATGGTTGGAATGAATGACCTCCCCCCCTCCCTTCCCCCCCCCAGTCAAAACAGAATGTAAGAGAAGGGGAATCTGATTCCCATCCAGGGGAGTATAGGATGAAAAAAAATTCAAAACTTACTTTTCTCCTTCTGGAAAGACCCTGCTAGCCCAGCCTTTTACAAAGCCTGGGTGTCTGGAAAACCACAAGACAACCAGCAATGCAAACATTACGAGGACATTGAATTCAGCATAAGAGATAGGGCCCAATTTCTTCATTTCTGCTTTCAGCACATTGTATGCAGCTTTTTCTTTAGCAGTTCTCACTGTCCCACATCCCCAGCTTTTTTTAAAGCTTTAAGAAAAGGGAGAAGAAAACACTGTAAGCATTAACATACTAGAGGAATTTACCACGCCTTCCACAATGAAGCTGTCCCTTCTCCGGACAGGCACAGACTAAAGCAGAGGGCAGGAACAGATAAATGATAGCAGTGTCAAAGTATTCCACATGCATGTGCCAATTTTCACAGAAAAATGGAGTCCATAAGTCTGTCCAATTTGGTGCAAGCAAGTACGAAAAACTCAGTATTGAATCAAGGGCAGCAACATATAGGCATGCTCTTCATGCTCTGAAATTCTCAGATTTTAAATTCAAAAAGGCAATTCTGTCTGAACATTAACAACATCTTACACTTTTACCTAGTGTGACTCTCCCCAAACATAAAAGGTTTCCAGATTTCAAAAGCTGCTGTGAAATGCAACTGCTCCCAGTTACAGAATGAATAACTCGCTAGTGCTTTTGTTTTATACAGAACCTTGCGAGTGACCTGATCTGCATTAGATGAATGGTTTAAATGGTATGAAGTAGTTAAAAGCTTACTTGAATCCCATGAAAGAGCACTGAAGCCAAAGCCACGCTAACACCAACATCAGAATCATGTTTGGAAAGGCAAACCCAAACCAGGAAGCAAAATTCACGACATCATTATTGTTGGGGTATAATCTGAAAAGAAAAATGTTTTCTGTATTATGTCAAAACAGTCAGTAATCTGCCTTCACTTCACTGTGGTGACAATTAGACGTGTACATTTGGGACAACCATTACTAGTAATCATAGGCAATACTCGCTGCTTAACTGAATAGAAAGGCAGCTCTAGGTTTCAGGATAGAAATTAAATGATACTGGGATAATGTGATAATTTTCCCTACATCCTACTTTAAAGCAGACAGGAGAGCTCATGCTGACATTTTAGGTCACAGTAAGACAAGCACTGCTGAAAGATCTCTCCATCTGGTCATTTATTCCATGATGTGTTTTTTCTTTCCTCCTCCCCCTTCTTAACTAATAGGAAAACAAGAATGTTCTTTTGAAGTTAATAGCTGTGCTTCTGCTCATTTCAGTAGAAGACATAGTTGCTACTTAGCTCAAAAGACTGAAGCCAGAGTTTTATGAACAACTTTCTGTTCTTCCCTACATCTACCCCGGAGAAGAAATAGCAATAGCAAGTTCTCATGTAGGTGATAAAAACCAATGGATAACGTAGCTGCTCCAGTTCAAGCACTCCAGTAGAAAGATGGAACATTGAGCAACCATTGAGGAGTCCACAGAATTTTCACTGCAGAGAAGGTCGCATCTAAATAAATTCCTGCAGCAATTAGATAAATTCATACAGTGGGAAAAGGGTTACTACAAAGGTGTGATGACAGAAGGACCAGCACAATAGAAAAAGTCTATAAAAGAAGGAAAGAAGATCACTTACCCGTATCAGAAGAGTCTGAGTTCACAACAGAAAGCTTCACCAAGGAGAAAACTCCAAAAAGAGACCCTTCCCCAGTGGCAGCCAGCCCTCAAATGAGGTCTAAGAGAGGTGCAGCCAAGCTCCACCCCTTCCTGTCATCCAGGTGAATTGCCTTCACCTGTGCTCCCAGAGCTGACTGGGTCCTTTCCCCAGGTGCTCCATCAGTGGCTGAGGCTGTGACTCAACAGTTCCCATCTTAGAAAAGATTATTTTGTGGATAGCTCCTTTCTTTTAAAACAATATCTATGCGGTTTACTTAGCCTCAGGGAGGAGAAATAATAATACAACATCAGGTAAACTATTTTTACCACTTTTCAGTGTGTTTATGAGAAGACTTCATCATACGTTCTTTTCAAGATCCACACTGCAGTTGCTCTGTTCACGTGCTGCCTTTTACTTGAAAAAGAGGAGGCAGAAGAACCAGTATCTCATATTCAGCCAGCAGTCAATTACCAACAAGTAATTCTAAGTTTCTCAGATCTATCACGCAGCTATCTAAAAAGTGCTAGAGCAGAAAAATATGGCCCATCACTTTACACACATTTCTCATTTTCAGTTCATCAGCTGGTTACTGAATAGTTTGATAACTGAAATGGCTACTATGACTTTTAATGTGTCGGTCACAAAACTGTGTGGCAGTAAAAGTAAAGAAATAGCAAGAGTGACTTACTGATTCATCTGGCCTTTCAATACCATGTTTGGCCCTGTTCCAGTCAGTGTTGCAGTTCCTCCAATGCTGGCAGCATAGCACACACACAGTGTCATTCCCTTACATATACGTTTCTTCATTTTCTTTTCCTCAGAAGATCTGGTGCCATCAGGAACTTGTCCATTGCTTATGACTAAATACAAAGAACATAACTTGCCTCAGGTGCAGTTAGGAAGGTGTAAAGTTCGTGTCAGGTCCTGCAGACTCAGTTCTTCCAGTTTGTGCATGCCAATTATTTTAATTTTAAAACCCCACAGAATACTCCCCAAATATTTCAGAATTATGTTCATGAGGTGCTGAGAAGAAAGATTGATAATCTGGCTCTACGTGATCCAAGGATGCTGTTGCCCATCTTGGTGCCACAGTTTCTAAGCAGCAATTTCCTATTTCACAGAGAGGCTTACCATCACCCAGAAACTGTAGTCATGAGAATCCTTTCAATACCACAGTAAGAACTCAAGCAGTTTAAGCAGCTGCAAATATGACAGAAAAAACAAACAAACAAACAAACAAACCAAAAACCAACCAACCAAAAAAAACCCCAAAAAACAAAACAAAACAAAAAAACAAAAAACGAAACAAAAAAAAAACCGAAAACCCAAAAACCAAAACCACCCCAAACATAATTCTGGCCTGGCACAAACTGTTTAGATCAATGTGAAATTTTGCTGCTGTGCCCACTCTGCTCTGAGATTAACAATTTCATCCTTAAGTCTGACTGAGTGAGACAACGAATGTGTAGCAATTACAAATAATTTAACAATAGCCAAGGGTATTCTTCATTCAAATTTGTTGCTTTCATTGCATGTTAGATGGAAATAAAGTAGCAAAGCCAAGTAGTTCCTTCTAAGTGCACAGAAATCCAGCAAAATTATTAACTCTAGTCTAAGTGCAGAAGTTTTTGAGACTCAAAAATAAACACTAAAAACAGCTAGGCAAACTTAATTATGTTAATACAACTGTTTGGAAGCTAGCAATGACAAAGCCTGAAGAGTACTCTCTGACCTATTAGTATTTTCTTGACTTGCATGAGTTACATAAACACATGCAATTGTGCCTGAGCTTTGCACAATTGTGCATTCTCCCTTCACTAGTGAGGCAAGACATCACACAACCAAAAAGCAGAGATTGCTGTTGTATCTCAGCTATCTTCCAAAGTCCAAACAAATATGGCAATTGAGTCAATATCATAACAGGGCAATGACTGGCACACGTGAACTGCCTTATACACTGCATCTTCCACAGACATATAATCCTTTCGTCCCAGGCAGAAGGTTTGAAGTGTGGGACATGGTATTCACTACCAATCTCTGAACTCATTCTTGTACACAGTCTCACAGGGAATCATGGCTGATCAAACTACTAATTCCATGAAATCACGTCCATGAAAATCACCAAAACATTTCTCCCTTCTCTGAAAGAGAAAGGCATCACAGATTGATTTTTAATAGTATTTAATAATATAGCCCTCTGTACTTGCACAACAGAGCAGTGAAATTGGAGAAACTCAATATGTGAGCTCTGAGTGTAACAAATTCAGTAGAATCAGTTCATTCCTTTAGCAGGCCCTTACCCTGCACTGGAGTGGGATCTGATGCATTCTTTTCCTCCAGCTCAATCACTGTATTTGTTTGGCCAGTTGCTTGTTCCATCATGGTCACATCATTTTCTGTGTTGTCCATTTGATCCAGGACAGCCTGAACAATGGGAACCATCATAGCAGTGGTTGCTGTGTTACTTATCCACATGGACAGGAAGGCAGTGACTACCATAAACCCCAGCATGAGGCTGAAAAGAGAGAAACAAGCAGAGGAGAAAGGAGGAAAAAATAGACACTGCTAGGCTTTGTAGTTACTTTAATTTAGAGAGCAGAGTCCAGACAGGGATGTGTGTAGTCTCTGATAATACAAAGCAGAGACAGATTCCCTTCTAGCTCTGCCGTCTTCATTGAAAGAATTCAAGAAAGGCATTTAGCCGCTTGATCTATGCATGATTAAGTCTGCACCACCTTGTTCCCAGTAGAAAAAAAACACAGAATTTATCCAGATTAAAATAAAATGAAATGGCAGCTCTGTGAACTATACTGAAGTGAAGTGAACTATAAAACTGTGTTTCTTTCCTGCCTATTGTCATTGTGACTGAAAACTGCTTTTGCATCTTGTAAACTTGGCTTTATCTATAGATGCAAATTAATGGATACTGGATGCTCTCCACCACCACCACCTTTGCAACACTTCTGGCTGTGTAACTGGCATCACTTAAGCATGACAGAAGGAGCACATGGCTTTTAGGTGAGGACCATATCTCCATTCACACAGATGTTGGTGGTAATGCTGCCTCAGTGATGACTTCAAGTCATGATAAAAAGATTTCATAGGAACTGTAAATGCCAGCACACACAATAATAGATCGGTTGGGTAGCAACAATACAGATGAAACCATAGCCTTGTGGTTGTACAGAGATTCAGCCTAAAACAAAAAGGAAGAGAAAGATTTATCTCACCTGTCTTCAGACAGGAACAAACAGGTATTTGGATTCCACTCAGATACTTACTGCTTCGCAGTTGATAAGAACTTCTTGTGCATGAATCATCTGCCCTACTATAGACAAGCCTTTTTGACTATACAGACAGTCTAGCTATTTGAATCAGAAATAAATGCTTGTGTTTTGAAAACTGAATTCCACTCAATAATCTTATCCAAGAATCAAACTATGGACCCAAGAGGAAATGTGAGAGACTGTAGAGATTGCAGCTGGTATAAAAATGAAAGTATTTTCATGCCATTCAAGTCAGCTGTCACAGGCACCCTACCATTATTATGTTTTTGCATAAAGGGCAAATTAACTGATCCTGCAGAAGATTTCACCTCTGGAAACTCTGTACAAGCGGAGCAAAAGAGCTTCTTGGAACTTCTCTCCTGTGCTGACTCTCAAACATCATACCTAGGTCTCTGCTAAACTGACACAGGTAAAGAAGAGCTAATGTAACATTCTTACAGTGCAGGCTTCACCCCAACTATCAGCAGGACTCTCAGCGCAATCCTTTTGTGAAGATTCCACCGTTCAACAGAAATTGCAACTATCAGCCCTCCAACAAAGAGCATATTTGTGTCATTTAGATACTGCAAGCACACCTGTAAGACAAAGAAGATAGATCAGAAGATCAAATCTTGTCACTTGCTAGTTTCACTAGTATTTCCTGCCTTCCTCTCAAAGCCATTTAGTGCACCAGGCTTCACCCCAACATTGTCAGAAAGAGCAGTGGCCTTAGAACTGCCTCCAGATTCCGGAATTCTTGATTCTCTTTTTAAGTGCTGAACAGCACTAAAGATACCAGAAATGCCAAATTCCAAAATAGATTTCCCAGAACTTCTAACAGCCTCACCCATCCTAACTATTGCTGGCCAATAGTAAACCTGGGCTACAGTACCTAAATGTAGTGTCTCTCGCTCAGGCTAAAGCACTACTCTTCCACTAGCACAAACAGCCAATTATCCTTTAGCAGCGTGAGCTTCAGAGGGGACACAGTGTACTTGCTGGCACTGTACTGTCTACCCTGCCAGGGGAAGTTTGCCTCATGCATTCTGAAATCTCCCAGAAGATGTTAGCAATGCTCTCCAACTGGGTGGGTTATGAACATACAAACTCCTGGCACTATTGGGATGTTTTCCATCAGGATCCATGCCCAGAGGACGTTTCTCTCTACCACCACAAGCCCCACATCCTTAATATTTTGGGAAAGTACATATTCGGTTCAGCATCTTCCCATACCAGAACCCTGCTCAACATGTTCAAAAACAGCCCCAGAAATTGAGTGCTTTCCTATCAGTGAGGGATCAGATCAATGGATATCCTTTTATCAGATATGGATGGAGTAAGAACTGTTGCTTACTGATTTAGAGCTCTGAACTCCAAGCAGAGGGAAAAATACAACTGGCATTAGGGAAGTAACAGCCAGTGGGATAACTTCAGTGCACCAGTACACAGCCATGATGATGATGATATATGCGCATTTGGCTTCCTGCAATATAATGGAAGACATTTAAGTACAGAAAACTATTCTTACAGATGAGAAAAACACTGCTATCTCTTCCAAGGGGAAACAAAGATTCAATTGTCTGTAGCTTAACAAGTTACACAGAAATAGGTAGCAAGGACACAAAGAATTAAACTTGTACATTTTAAGTCTTGCTCAGAATTCAGTTGCATAAAAAGTCTTTTTGACCACCGTGTGTTTTCTAATGCCTTTAGGTAAAATGTAGGGCAAGAAAAAAAAAACAAATCTTCCACAGCTAGGTAAGTACAGTTTGCAGTGTGCAATTACCTCTTGGCAGTTGAGGTAAGCAAATTTCACACCCAGGTGCCAAGAATTTCTAACGGTGTTTAAGATTTGGGCATTTCTATTTTTAGTAACCTATTTTTAAATGGATGCTAATAGATGAGTATTTCCTAGTATAGGTGAGAAGACTGACTGACATTCAGATGTATTTGAAGTGTGTCTTAGTAATACACTTGAACCCAGAAACTCACTGAACAATTTAGAACTATAACTCTTACCATTTAGAATTCTTAACTTTTTTTTTTTTGAGTAGTTAAGGATATATGAGATATTAACTTGCTTTCCCAAATCATACTGTGTTTATCTAATAAGGGATCTAATTCTCTAATAAGTTATCTAGTAAGAGGATTCCCTCATCCTCTGCTGTAACACGACTCTTTATACCATTGGTCACACATTTCTCTAACCTAGGCTTCCTTGTTTTGTACTTTCTTGTTAATTGTTAGGAGAAGCAAGCATTCATTAGCCTACAGTAAACAATGTTTTAAAGCTTTAGTTAAAGCATTTTGCTCACAGTTTGTTCGTATTTAGGGTACGTGTTTATAGGATCTGATTCTAATGCACAAATGGGACTTTATTGCAAAAATAAATGGTGTTACAGTGATATTTAAAAATTGCTGTAAGGTTGTATTTATAAACAGGGAGGAGTTGAAGAATTAGAAAACAGTCCTTGTAAGTAATTTTTTTTTCAGGTTTAGAGGAGATTAATTACAGGACAAGTTTGGAAATAAATGTTTTATTAGAGACTAGAAGATATCAGACAGATCCTATTTTAATTTCTTTCCTCGATAAATGTGAGGTGAGCTTATGATTGAATTTAAGCTGTACAACAGTAACTAAGTGCAAGAAGATACTGTAGTTTATTTTATAAGATCAAAGACACACAAACTACTCTAGGAGAATATTACTTTAAATAACACAATACAGAAAAAGCTGGTTTTGTACAGTGGAGAGTAAATAATTTACATGAAGTTCAAAAATACAACCATGTTTATAAATTAACTCAAACGTCTACAGCTAGATGAACAGCCAAAGTTCTGAGATTAAATAAGTAGGTGTATCCACATCTATATACATCTGTGATTTATGGGAATAGTGAAAAAATATTTCCTTGGTGTGTCTGGACAGCCCAGAGCAATCACTATGACTAGTTTTCTCACTGAGAGCTGAAAAGCAGCTACTGATGGAAATGGTACTCTCCCATTGTGTAATATTGTAATTTTCCAGATAAGATTGATGACACAATATTCCTACAATTATTGGGAAACTGAAGAGATATTCTCTTTATTTTCTTTTTTCTTTTTATTTATTTTTTTCCAGGAAATTGTCCTAGCATTGATCATAATAGTGCCAAACAGCCAGAAATACCTTTCCTCAAGGCACCAGCATTCAAGTGAAGAGCAAGGTTGTTATTAGACAGGTAAGCCAAAAGGTTTTTCTTTTTTCTTTTTTGTTTGTAAACAGGTTTAAAATACACCTGCATAATGCTCCTCCTGTAGTTTAAAATATATGGATCATTACACCCAGAAGAAAGACTGCATTTAGCCCTAGAATAGCTAAAGCCTTAGTAGGTGAAAATACTGTGAACAGAGGTTTCACATTTTCCCAAGAACTGCAAGGTTTTAAAGATAAAACTCTTGGTAGCTCATTCCAGCTCCATGCTGGTGTAACTGCACTGAAACCAAAGGAGCTATGAGACCCCCCCATCACCAGAGGAAGAGGGATGTGGAGTAATTACATTCAAACTCATCTTATAATCACTACATAACACATAGTGCACGGCCTCCTAGTGCTTCACTGGATGAAGAATGGCACTCAGGAGCATTCTTAAAAGCATCTCAGTGTCTCAGCAGCAGGCCTAAAGAGCCCAGAAGTCCCCCCTTTCAGTCCCCTAACTCCTCACTGACAGTTATTCCTAGATAACCTCGAGTGCAATTCTACACGTCCAAACCAACTATGTATATATATTTATCTCTGGGTCAAAAAGAATTGTACCCAGTTTGCAAGATGGGTTGGGTCTGTGGGAGCCCAGGCTCTGGCATATTCCTTTGGATGAACAAATGGGCATGGAGCTCCTCTTTTGGGCTTCTTATGTGAGCTCCACTGCCTAGCACCAGCACCACTTGAAGATCATTAGGAGCAAAAGCAGTAGAACACATCCCTGAGACCCAGGACTGAGAGGCTAATTGAGCTGTGAAGAAACTCCTCTGAGACGGTGCCAGGAAGGTGCTACTTCAGCGGCCACTCAGGTGGCATTGGAGATATAGCGCCAGGGACCGAACGGGCAGCACTTTACACAGCGACCGCCCGCTCCGGGGGGATCCCCACACGAACCCGAACCGCGCCTGCCTGCCGCGCTGGGTCAGGGGCAGCTGCGGGGCTCGGCCCTGGGGGCCGAGTGTGGGTGGGTTCCTCTGGGGCAGCGGGTCCCCGCTCGGAACCCGCAGGCACTTACCCGCGTGGGCACAGTGATCGGCAGCGGCAGCAGCAGCAGCGGTGCGAGCAAGAGGATGGCGAAGGACCGGTACCTCAGCAGGGGACGTGGGCACGTCGAGGCCATCTTCTGTGGAGAGACGCGGACAGGGCGCGAGCGGCACGGCACCCGCTTCCCGCCGCTTTAAGTAGTGGGCGGCGGGGCCGCAGCGGGAGGGACATGGCGGGGGGCGACGCGACCCGCCCGCGCCCTGACGAGACACCAGGTCCGCCCGTGCCCGGACGGGGCCGGGCTTGCGCAGAGCGGTGCGGACGCGGCCCACGAGCGAGACAGCGGGCGGAGAGATGCCGTCGGGCGCCAGCCCAGCTGCCCTGCCTCGCACCCGCCCCACCAAGTGGGGTCAAGCGGGTCCTGCGGTTCCCCCCTCCCACAGGCAGCCCTGGGGGACGCGAAGCAGGTGTCCGCAGTTCCTGTCCGGCAGCTGGGAGATCTCGGCGGGACCCGGAGCGAGGTCGAATCCACTATGGGGTCCCGTCCATAAAGGGGGGCTTTCCCCTTGCTCCATTCCTCTCAGCAAACAAGGAAAGCAGCTCGATAGCAGTGTTCCAAATTATCGCCCCAACTGGGAGAATGTTCAGGAAAATCTCTCTGTTCGTAGTGCCTGTAAAAAGCCACCAGTGACCACTGATTCTCCTATTGCACGTTACCTGCAGGACCAAATCCTTGCCTAGACTTCTTCAGGTGCTGGATGCACAAGTTGATGGCAAGGGAGGACCATCTCTCATTTACACAGTGGCGGGGAAGGACAGAGCAGAGCTCCCCTGGGGAAATGCAGAGTTAATCCTGCAGTGTGGATCTCCCTAAAACAAAGGCCTGTGCAGGCATGCGTGGTTGTGTTTCATTGCCCATCATTTTATGAGAGATTTTGTGTCCGTGATCTGGGTTAAAAATATCCCAGAAAGGTTAACCAAAAAAGTTATTTTTAAGCTGTATCATTCCAGTGATTAGGGTTAGGGTTAGTTTAGCCTATACAAAATCAGAAGTGACAGCACTACTGAGAGGATGGCAAGCACTGCTGTCATGGTAGAAAGAAATGATTGGAGTGGAGAAGGGAGAGATTGGGCACCAGACAAAGAATTCTTCTGTGATGACAAAAGCCACCTGAGATGGAAAGCAGCAAAGATGACAATTTGATTGTGTGAACTCTGTACAGTCATATCAAGCAGTTACTCTCAGACATAAAGAATTTCAGATTCTACAGCAAGTAATGGGGGAGCTCTGACTATAGATTATGCTATTTGTCTTCTGTTGAGTGGAGGATCTTGAGTGTTTGAAGTTCAAAGCAAGACACTCCAGTGTTACTGTTCTGTTTGTAAAAGCAATGAGTGTTCATTAAGGAAAACAGTAGCAAACCGGATCTGTACAAATTCCAAATATTCAAACTTTTAGCAGCAATCCCACTGGGTTACTTACCAACAGAGAGGAAACTTCACACCAGCACAGAGCCTAGCAGGAAGCGAGGAATCAGCCAAAACCTGCATTCCTGTGTCCGGTCTCCAGTGAAAAATACTCCCTAGTCAACAAAGAAAAGTACTTGAATGAGAAAATGGAAGGAGTTAACTCTAGAGGTTTAGTGATAGAGTTCACTTTGTCTGACAGATCAATGTAAATATGACTTATTATCTTCTGCTGTTTATATATTGGCTGTTTAGCAGAAGGGAGTTCATTTGGAAGGAGAAAGGGAGGGATAAACTGAGTTCAGAAAATCCAAATTTACGGCCAATCATTTCCAGCAACTGGCCAAGCTCACCTGATGGCATAACCTGCAGTTTCTTAGCCAGTTGTACTGGGACTCATTGGAGTCTTCTCTCGATTGATGTAGCACAAAATGAACCCAACAAAAAAAGCAGAGTTTTCTGCTGAGTTAGTGAGCTGAATATGTTCAGTGAGCTCCAGAGCCAGCTCAAGAGACTGGGCCAGTTATAGCTTGAGTGGGAAGAGTAACAGAGGCAGAGTCAGCTCCTTTAGAGACAGCAGATTCATAAATGAGCTTAGCAAAACTGTCAACAACATGCAGAGCCTTGTGATCTTCCTTTCTGTATTATAGATACCAGAACAGATGGCATTTACATACAGTGTGAGTCACTGTACAGAGTTTCACTCAGAAGTGGGACACTGCTGGAGGCTCATTAACAAACACTGGCCTGCATTGTTTGGGTTAGTAGAAAGGGACTATCTGTCAAATTTCCTTGGGAAGTAGGAATTCCAGGATCAACCATCCAGGTAGGAAAAATGAAAAATAAAAATTTTAGTATAGAAGCTACTTTTCTGATTTTTCTTATTACCACTCATAGCAATTAGTCTCAGTATTGCTGGATACGAATAGTTTGTGGGAAGGAGGCTTTACAGAAAGCAGGTGATACATTGAATTACAGATAAATGTATTTTCTGCCTTTAATTCAGATGCTGTCCAAGTATACAAGTGCAGTTTGCTTGTTTAAAAAGCAATCTATTTGATCTAGATAGCTGCTATTCCTCTCAAGACAAAAAACACTTCACAGTTTCATTTTTAAGTTATTTCAGTGTTGCAGGCTCCATGCAACACACAGAGGTACAAAAGTTTAACAAAATTATATTAAATGAGGACTATAAGACCTCTAATACTTGGCACTGAGAAAGAAAAAGCAAAACAGCTCACTTTAAGGCATTCTAGGGCAGCAGAAAAACATCAGGCTTTTACAGAGGCTTTTGAAAATCTCATTTTAAAAAACAGCTGGAGTAGAACTTACCTCTATTTGAAGCTTGCATTAAAATGATGCCTAGAAGAGGTCTTGTACAATAATGTTATGTACTGTAAGTTTACACAGAATTTAAATTGAAAGAGTTATTTCCAGCATTCAGCAAATATCACTGCTTTCTTACTTTCTGCCTTTCCTCCAGTCAGTACTTTCACAGCCACTGACAGTCCACTCTGCTGCTTTAGGAATATCTTTCAACTAAGTTCCCAGTGGAGCATCTGATATTTTTCCAAGAAAAGCTTTTCAGACTCTGAACGAACAGTCCTTTCAGTACAAACCCTGTGCCCAACAACTCTCTACATAAAAGCCCTCATTATGAATATTGAGTCAGTGGGGCTTTCTCAGTCACTGTGTGTTGCTGATCAGGCATTCTTGACCTAGAATTGATATTTCTCATATAGTTTGCAAGAAGACCTAAAGCATATTAAAATGTGCATCACATAAAAAGTAGTGTAGACTAATGACTACAAAAAAGAAAAAGGGTAAAGAAAAGAAAAGAAAATGAAATAAAATCTTTGATTTGGAATTGGCAATCCTATAACCTCTCCCTTAGCTGCCATCTCATTAACATATTTGTTCAAAAGACTCTTCTCTGCTTCATTACATAATTTGTATCACAAAATTCATACAAATGTTCATTATTCCCAGATCCAGACAATGGCTCACACGCCTTAATTGATCATCCGTTTCTTTTCTTTTCTTTTCTTTTCTTTTCTTTTCTTTTCTTTTCTTTTCTTTTCTTTTCTTTTCTTTTCTTTTCTTTTCTTTTCTTTTCTTTTCTTTTCTTTTCTTCCTCCCTTTTCCCTCCCTCCTCCTCCCCCCCCTTTTTTTTTCCCAGAAATAAATGGGGGACAGAGAGTGTTTTTTGGTATGGGAACTGAACCAGACCAATTTCTTACTAACATCTGGGTCATCTGTTGTATGCACCATTATAGTGCATTATACAAACACTAGTGAATGATTCTTCCCAATACCTCTGCGAAATAGAAACGTTAATATTATTGCCCTGTTTTATAGATAGAGAACATAAACTTCTATTTTCTGCATCTCCTGTACCTACAGTTCCATACCTGGTAGGATCTATAGCATCAGGGAAGAGCTCCTTATATCACGCTTCTGTGAAGTATCAGTTGCAATAACAGGTACAAGAAATGCTAGGCCTTCATCATGAGGTCCTGGAGATGAGTACTGGTATTGAAATGAAGATAGAAAATTCTGTTTCTCTCTAAATTACATTCCTTTAAAAGATCTCTGTGTAAAACTGTGCACTTGCATGAGCCCCCAGCTGAGATCAACTGATGGGCAGGACTTGCTGCACCTGTGTGAGCAGCCCTGCTGGAAAGGCTTAGTGAGGTGGGGCTGTCAGCCCAATGCTGGGCTTCTGCCTGTGCTGTTGGTGGGCAAATGTTTTCTCTCCACCAACTGGCAGTTTTTGTTTGTGATGAGAACTGCTCTGACTTGGCTGGACAAGCCCCAGGGGTTTGAAATGGGTTTGTAAGGCTGGATGCTAGTGAAACTGCTGCTCCAGAGGTGGAGGGGGGCCACAGCATAACCCAGCCCTCCTTGCCTGCTGCAAACCAACCATGCAGCAAAGGCCCTGTAGCTCTTTGACCAAAACATGCTGAGAAAACAGTGGCCATGGTGACATCAGATAGGCTGTGACAAAGCATGGAACCCAGGGACACAGACCACTGCAGGTGGAGCCCACCATCTGCAGGGCAGCCCTGCTAACCGGGGGTGCCCCCTGCCTGCAGTCCCTAGGGTTTGTATTGTGCTGCTGCCTATCCCTCTCTGCTGGCAACCATCCAGACTACAACCTTGTAAGCTGTGATGTCATAGTTATCAGCAAAATATTACTGGGGTGAGTTCACAGGTGGGCTGCCACTATACCTGCAAGCAGGTGCTGATGCTACACCTGTGCTGCTGCCAGCACACCTACAGAGTGATATGGGGCGATGGGGCCTCAGAGCTGGTTGTGGTTATTACCACTCCAGGCACAGAGAGAAAATGCTGCCCTGTGGCCCTGTTTGCACTGGGCAGGAAGGAGTTACGGAGGTCGTCTGGACCCAGAGGCCTGGCCTCTCTGTGCAGTTCTGATGAAGAGAGGATCCAACTGCCACTTGGACCTCTAAGACACAAGGCGGGGGTGGGCAGCTTCCCACCTTCCTCCTCAGGAAATTCTGTGTCCCTGGTGGACACCTGCAGTGGGCAGGAGAGGGCAGAGGAGTGTGGGCACTGTGGAGGAGAGGCCAGCTGGTGTCATTCCACCCCCCTGCAGCAGGGCAGGAGAACAGCTTCATCCCCAATTGCATCAGTCAGCTTCAGAGAGCAACCCTGCCTGCTGTATACACCCCATACTGCCATCAAATGTATTTGGAAATGAAGGAAAGAGGTCCCTCACGGTTCCTCTAAGGACCACTAAAGTAATCTGTATGTGGAACTCATGTGAAAAACTCATGCTTGTCTGACACTACTGCAGTTCATTCTTTAA